GCTCGTGACCCTGTCCATGGACGCGGGCCGGGCCCCACACGTCCATGTGAAGCGTCTGCAGCGGGGCCTCTGTCGGAGGAAACTGGGAGGAGTGAGGGGCAGCACGCTGCCGCCCCTCGACACAGGGGACGCAGGTAGGGGCAGGCCCCGGAGGAAGGGGAGGGAGGGACCGGGGAAGACCAGAGACAAGGACACGGGAGGCCATGCCTCGGAGACGAGGCAGGGAGGGGTGACCAAGGCGGTGGTGCCAGAGGAGAGTCTCGTGAGACAGGAGGCGACACGAGCAGGGGGCAGACTCAGGACCAGACCTGGACGCTGCAGCAAACACCTGACCCGACGCAGCTGCCTGACCAGACGCAGTGACTGGAGGAGACTCAGTGGTCAGTGTGTACAGGCTCGACCCCGGCCGACGTGTAAACGTGGCCAAGTGTCGGCCCGTCCGAGCGTCCGTGCAGTGGGTCACACGCTGGCTCGCAGGAGTGAACTGGTGAACCCCCGCATCCTGTAGGTCAGCACCACTCACCAAGTTCGTAGAGAACGAGGGGAGGTAAAGACCAGACAGGGTGCCAGAGGGGGCCGCCGGACACGGGAGGACAGTGGAGAAGTGAGCAAGGACAGGACCCCCAGAGGGGTCTGCCAGAGAGACTGCAACTGGCCGACCAAGCGGCGTGAGTGTGGTGCGGTCTCGAAAGAAGGAGCGAGAAGCCCCCGAGTCAAGAGTGAAGGTGTGGGAGGCCGGAGCCGACGCAGTACCTGAGAGAGCAGACTCACCAGCATCTGAGGAAGCAGACGCACTGGCACCTAGAGCAGCAGCCTCGCTAGCACCTAGAGCAGCAGCCTCACCAGTACCTAGAGCAGCAGCCCCAATGCCCGGGTCGGGCGGAAAACACCAGTAACAGTCACCCTCATCACTAATAGTCACAGCATACATGGCAGCAAGAATAGCATCAAAGTCAAGGTCAAAGATAGCTACTCCCGCCCTAGACAGCTCCCCCCAGCGAGGGATCTCAGTGGCCTCAGGGAACTGGTGACGCCAAGCGTCCGTCAGGCGGCCAAAGCAGCGCTGGGTGGAGTGCGCACCCCCGCACGGCTCACCCGCGTGGTCGCCGGTGCGTAGGACGTAGGTGCACGGACCAGTACCCCCACCCCGCTGGCGTGCAGCGTACCACTCACGAAGCTGCTGAGGGGGGGGGATCTCACGAGTGCGCTGCTGCTGCTGCTGCTGCTGCTGCTGCTGGCGCTGACCACCACCGGAGCCGACCCTCTGCGCAGCGCCACCCCGACCAGCTCCACCTCCTCCGCCGCCGCCTCCTCCACCGCCGCCACCTCCGCCACCTCCGCTCCCACCGCCACTGCCGCCGCCGCCTCCGCCTCCACTGCCGCCACCGACGCCCCCACCCCCGCCACTACCCCCACCGCCACCCCCACCCCCTCCGCCGCCTCCACCGCCACCTCCACCGCCCCCGCTAGCTCCTCCAGCGCCCCTGCCCCCCTTGCCCTTGCCAGTGCGGCGTCTCCCGCTAGGGGCAGACGCCGCACCGACCGACTCAAGACCAACGAGGTCGGCCGCAGCAGCAGAGGCAACAGAGGGCAAGAGAGGAGAGGGGGAGCACCCCTCAAAGACAGGGGCACGAGGGTCACCACGAGAGGCTCCTACAGCGACTATGCTCTTCTCTGCTGCTAGGAGGCGCTCCTCGAGGAGGTCAACGGTGAGGGTGGTGGGGCAAACAGAGAGAAAGTGGTCCCTGACCGGGCGAAGGGTGTCAGGGAGCCGGGTGACTACGTAGTAGAGGGTGATGTACATAGGGGGGGGGTTCTTGGCGCAGAACTCAGGAGGAAGGGCAGCGCGGTAGCGAGTGTCACTAGTGCGCAGGTGCGTAATGAGGTCAGCGACTGTGGGAAAAGCGGCGAGGTCAGGGAAGAGGTACGGCAGGATGAGGCGGCTAAGTGCAGCAGTGGCAGGGGAAGAGTAGCGTGCAACTACAGCGTCGTACAAGGTCTTAGCACTCTTGTACTGACTAAAGTGTGCACGCTCAGCGGTAGGCAAGTGGCGGCGCACAGCAAGATGGGCAGCAGCGTCGCGTGTGGCCCACTGTGAGCGAACAGTGGCGTCAGCATCAGCAACAGGGGCAGAAGAGGCACCAGAAGTGAGGTCAAAGAGAGAGAGACCGTCTGCCCTGTCGCACTGTAGGAAAAGCTGCAGGTCATCTACCCAGACGTCAAAGTCAATGGCCCGACCCTCAGCGTCAAAAGCGAGGACACTGGGGGTAGCCATGACAGCAGTAGACTAGCAGCTGGAGCAGTAGGGTAAGGGCAGCGCAGTGGTAGAGGTGCCGCTCTTACCGGACAGGGCGGCTCGGGCGGCTCGGCAGCTCGGCGGCTCGGCAGCAACTGCAGCTCGGCGGCTCGGCGACTCGGCGGCTCGGGCGGCTCGGGCGGCTCGGGCGGCTCGGCGGCACGGCGGCTCGGCAGCAACTGGAGCTCGGCGGCTGGGCGACTCGGCGGCTCGGGCGGCTCAGGTGGCTCGGCGGCTCGGGCGGCTCGGGTGGCTCGGGCGGCTCGGCAGCAGCGGCGGCTCGGTAGATCGGCGGCTCAGCGGCGCCGGCGGCTCGGTGGTGACGGCGGGGCCGCGTGGGGACAGCGGCGGGGCCGGGTGGGGCGGCGACGAGGCCGCTGAGGGCGGCGGCGGGGCCACGAAGGGTGGCGACCGGCGCCTTAAGGGTGGGGCCGCGGGGTCGCAAGGGTGGGGCGACGGGGCCAGCAGAGGCGGCGCCGGGGCCGGGAAGGGCGGCGCCGGGGCCGGGAAGGGTGGCGCCGGGGCCGCAAGGGTAGGCGACGGGGCCGCGAGGGCGGCGTGGAGGGGTCGCGAGGGCGGCTCGAGGAGGCCGCGAGGGCGGCGCGAAAGGGCCGCGAGGGCGGCGCGAAAGGGCCGCGAGGGCGGCGCGACGCGACGGGACCGCGAGGGCGGCGCGACGGGGTCGCAAGGGCGACGCGACGGGGCCGCTAGGGAGGCGCGACGCGACGGGGCCGCTGAGGCGGCGCGACGGGGTCGTAAGGGCGGCGCGACAGGGCCGTGAGAGGGGAGCGCGACTCGGGCAGAGGCTGAGCGCGCTCCGGGCAGGAAAAAAAAGTTGGTGGGCCCTAGGAACAGTTCCCACAGGGGAACCTGCTCTGATACCATGTGAAAATGAACGAGGAAAATGAAAAGACTAAGGGAAAGTTGGGTACAAGTACAAACCCTAGAAAGCTGTACCCCATATGTGCTACCCCACTATAGCCTACAGCAGCTAAGTCATATAAATCTGACAAGGGAGCGCGTGAGAGAGCGCGTGAGGGAGCGCGTGAGAGTGTGTGAGAGAGTGCGCGAGAGAGTGCGCGAGAGAGTGCACGAGTGAGCGCGTGAGAGTGCGCAAGAGAGAGCGCGCAAGAGTGTGTGCAAAAGAGCGCGTGGGAGAGTGCGCGCGATAGAGCGCGCGAGTTTGCGCATGAGGGAGCGCGTGAGAGAACGTTGCGCGTGAATTTCTGTTGCGCTTACTTTGTTTTTTAGTGCATCAAGGAAGCTGAATTCTCTGATTTTGTTTTCTTGTGCTATTAATGCAAGTTGTATTCTCTGATTTTGTTCTTGTTTGTGCAGGGAGTGAGTTGCATTCCCTGATTTTTCTTTCCTGTGCAGGGAGTTCAAGCTGCAGCCTTTGTTTCTTGCGGAGAAAAGGGATGGGGAGAAGGGAGATAAGGGAAATGAGGGAGGGAGGGAGGGAGGGAGGGAGGGAGGGGAACGGGGGACAGGATAGTGATAATTTATACAAGGCTGAAATTCATTCATTATGCTTGCATGCTTATTACAGTAGCTGTATGTTTTTGCGTTGTGTGTCTGTATATATGTGTGAGCCTGTATGTGTGTGAGTGCGTACATGTGCATATGTGTGTTGTGCGTGCTTCAGGGTGTGGTGCTAAGTGCCTCCTGAATGCAACTCGGATTGTGATCGTCGGTGGGGCAGCTTTGCTAGCCTCTTCCGTACCATATCAATCTCAGTTGCAGCAGTGATGCATTTAGCATTCGCTTTGAAACTTTCTTAAACGTTGTCTTCTGTTTTAGTAATCATTTATGTGTTATCATCTGTGCTTGTTTTGGGGGTGTGGTGCTAAGTGTCTCGTGTATGCAACTGGGATTGTGATCGTCGGTGAGGCAGCTTTGCTCGCCTCTTCCGTACCATATCAGTCTCAGTTGTTGCATAGATGCATTTAGTATTCCTTTCAAAACATGTAAGACGGTTCTTGTACACCATCGTTTTTGTGGTCATTTGTGTATGTCTGTCTCTTGGTGGTACTGTTGTATTTTTTGTGTTGTCCTTTGTGTTCGTGTGTCATTGGGTACCGTATCATCTTTAGTGCTAAAACGATTCTCCAATTGTTCCATTCGCCGTACTTATCGACGATTATGGAATGATTGGAAACATTTGTTTTCATTTTTTTGGGGAAGCTATGTGAACAGTGATTTCTTTCAAAATTTATAAAAGAAATTCACTGTTCACATCAGCCAACCGAAAAGTGAAAACGAATGTATAAGGTTGCTACGCAACCCAAAAATTGCTGCGCGGTGCGAGAAATTAAGGACCAGTGGGACTCGAAGGTAAGGGTATGGAAGGTTGTATGGGTTGCGGGAGGGAAGGGAAGGAAAGGGAAGGCAGTGACAGTGTCGGCAATCACAAGGGGGACGAGCTGGAGAGAGACAGAAAAGAAGGGGGCTCATTCGCGATTGTAGGTGTCCGTAATTATATAAACGCTGTATCTAAACCGATTCTCAGCGTTTAGTATCCTTTACATATTTTTGACGACAACGATTCACTTTCTGAGTGGTCGAGCTCATAGAACCAAGTTTAATCTGAGCGTGCAACAATTACATTCTATCGAATTCATATTAAGTTTAGATGCTATGTTACTCCCAATTCAACAAGATATAACTAAGAGCTAGGTTTACGCAACCTATTACCGGTAACCTCCTATTCCCCGAAGTTAATACCATCAAGAACAGAGTTCGGACTACACCCCAAAACACCATCCTCCGTAGCTTTATCGATCGTCTCATCCTTAGATGATAACGATAACCGAGATGCACCACCAGCACCATCAACATTCTTCATGCAACGTGCCACAGGAACCGGGGAAGACGGAGCAGAAAATATCATGAACCTGCCCCTGCGCTGTGATTGGCTGGCCTTTACCTCGGTCAACGAGCACTGAGCCGGGAACGCACCAGGAGCTGAAAACGAAACACCTGAAGGGTCTGAACGGAAAGCTAAAGGAGTTGGTGACTGTAAAGGAGTTGGTGACAGTAAAGGAGTTGGTGACAGTAAAGGAGTTGGTGACTGTAAAGGAGTTGGCGAGGAAGGTGGTGTGGAAAGAACAGTAGCTATGCTGGTGCTTTCTCGGCTGCTGCTGGTGCTGCGGCTGCAGTGCCTGCTGCCTTCTTTGCTGAAGCTGGTGGTTTCTCTAATTCCACTGCCTTCTCTGGTGCTTCCTTCTCCTTTATTGGCACCATCAGAGCTACTAACAGTGCTGCAGCTGGAGCTTGCATCTGCAGCTGTTCCCTTGCTGTGTTGCTGATGCTGCTGCTGGTTGTGGTGGTGGTGTGGCTGTTGGTGGCGGTGTTGCTGTTGATGCTGGTGTTGGTGAGAGTGCTTCTCGAGCTGATGCTGCTGTTGTTGCTTGTCAGAATGCTGCTGCGGCTGGTGATGTTGCTGGTGCTGATGATGGCGATGGTGATGGTGGTGATGCTGCTGATGCTCTTTCTGAATCGCCTGCCCCTGCTCCCGGTGCTGCCTCTGGTATAAAGGCTGCGGCACATGTTGCTGCTGCTGCTGATGCTGATGCTGATGCCGATGCTGCTGCTGCTGCTGCTGCTGCTGCTGCTGCTGCTGCTGATGCTGATGCTGCTGCTGCTGCTGGTGCTGATGCTGCTGCTGATGCTGATGCTGATGCTGATGCTGATGCTGATGCTCCTGCTGCTGCTGGTGCTGATGCTGATGTTGCTGCTGCTCCTTCACTTGCTCACCTCCCACCCGTTTGAACCATGGATGCTGGACAATGTGGCTCGATCCAATCCGTCGATTGGGATCCACATCCAGCATCCGACGGACGAGATCCTTCGCCTCGTGCGAGATCAACGGCCAGTGACTGCCCGTCTCCAAATCAACCTCTCCCCTGCAAACCGCAGCAAACACCGCATTCTGATTTTTACCGAAAAACGGTAGTGTACCAGAAAGGCAAGTGTACATTATCACACCTAAACTCCACACATCCACCTCGGGACCATACTCCCTCCCTCTGACAGTCTCTGGAGCCATGTAGAATGGGCTTCCCACCAAACCATGCAGCCTGCATCCTCGTTTTAAGACTCTCGCCAACCCAAAATCTGCAATCTTAACTGTGAGACAACGTGGTGTCAACGAGGCTGCTGATAACGAGGGCAGGGAGAGGTCAGCAGGTGATTTTTTCTCAGAGTCCACGTGGGAGCAGTCGGTGGTGGAGAGATGACTATCCGAGTGACAGGATGTGCTTGTAAGGAGGATGTTTTCGGGCTTTAAGTCCCGGTGCACTACTCCCATCTCGTGCATCTTTGCCACTGCTGTTGCAATTTGCCTGGGAGAAGAGGCATACAAGAATGTAAGAGGGGATGGGAGGGGTATCCAAGAATGTAGGAGATGGGAGGGGATGGGGAAGGAGGGGGAAGGGGGAGGGGAGTGGGGAGGGCGGAAGGGATACACAGATATTGTTGTGTGTTGGTGGAGCATACAAGGTAAGTGGGAGGTGGTCAGAGGGCTGTAGTGTGGAGGAAACGAGGGCAAACCGAGTGTAGAAGTCCAAGAGAGGTGAGGGGAAGGAAAGGAAGGCAGGAACAAGCAGCCCCGGTCCGAGAGATGGAGGTTGGGGAGAGGAGAAAAAGAGGGGAAGGAGAGAGTATGTCTGGACGGGATGGTGAGGGGTAGAGGCAAGGCACTGAACTCAGCTTAGGAAACGCTTCTGTCAAGGCTAACGACACACCTCATTATGGTAGCAGTTTGTCGTTCATCGAGCCTCTCATGTCGTGCCACGTGTTCAAACAAATCTCCTCCCTCGCAGTGCTCCATCACTATATGCACTGCAGATTCGTCCTCAAAAACATCCACCAATCGCACAAACCCGTTTTCATGCCTGTTCCTGTAATAATCATTACTGCCTTCTTTATGATAGTTTTTCACATTTGTACTGTCAACTTCTTTTTCACTCCTCTTTGTACACCCAGCCTCTCGATCATCCGCGTCGCTGTTGTGATGACGGTTGGCGGTGCTCTGATCCGTTTCAGTCACGTCCGTTACCCGCACAAACTTCAAACACCGAGCTGCTGACACACCCCGCCCATAAATCTCCGCTTTCTCCCCGTGTGCTCTCACTCCATTCCGCCGCTCCCCCTCTACCTCGCGCATTGCTTCCCCCGCTCCTTCTCCGCGCGCAGTATCGTCCCAGCCTTCGTTGCGCCCTGCTTCCGCCTCTTTCCTCGCGTCCTGTTGCGTCTCATCTCCTTCGCCGCGCGTTTCTTGCGCCTGCATTTTCCTCTGCGCTGCTTGCAACAGCAGCGGAATCAGCACCTCCGCGCGTAACTCGCGCATGGCCTCGGGAGTCTGTTAAATGGGGAATACGGAGAGAAAAAAGCGGAGTGGAAAGGTAAAAGGTAATAGAACGAAATGGGGGAAGCAAAAGAGAAGGAGGAAGTTTTGAAAAGCCACCAAGCGCGATTGAATGACTTCACCAGCTCTTTGGTTACGAAATGACAGTAGAAAACAACTGAACCGAAACGCACTGCTATTTGCGACTTGAGAACGGTCTTGCATGCGAACTTCTCCCCTGTTCGCCTGTCTTCGCAGAGCCGCACCACCCCGAAATGGCCTAGCCCCAGCTCCTTTCCCAGCCTGAACCGAGCCTCCAGGCTCGGCTGTCCCCCCGCGGGCCGCTCGCGCCAGCCGTCCCGCCCGCAGACTCCACTTTCGCAACCTCCGTCGTCGTTTCCGCCGTTGCCGCCGTTCCCCGCGCACTGGCCGCCTCCGCAACATTCGGTGAGGGAGCCGACGCCGCCATATTCCACGCCGCAGATGTCGCCGCTTTCGGCGCCGTCAGCCCGACATTGGCGGCGTGCTTCGCGGAGTAGATCGTACACGTTGCTGCGTATGGCGGATCCTTCATCCACGGCTGGCTCCACGGGCAGGGAGCGAGCGGCTTGAGCGCTGACGTGGATGATGTCCCCGAACACGTGGAATGATGTATCTTGCTGACGTGGCTGTACGGTTTTGCTGAGCTCGTTTTTGTCACAGTCGTTTTTATCTCGCGAAGGTACTTCGCCCACGGCCTGACAGTCTCCCCTGCGGATTTGGCTCCTTCGACTGGGTTGACCAGGTTGACCGTATTGACCGGTTCCAGCGGGTTGACCAGATTGACCGCATTGACTTGGTTGACTGGTCGAGCCGGCTCGCTGCCTATCTGCCGTGGCGTCAGGCGCAGCCATTTCATGTCGCGGCGGCACGGAGAGACATGAAAGAAAGGAGCGGCATCACACAAGCCGCGTTCACTGAGATTGCGGCGCGAGATGTCACTTGGGTTATACTCCAGAAAAGATATCGATTTCGGAGATTTGCGCGGACAGGGTTAAGGAGAAAGTGCACGAGTGATGCGACGCAGCAGTCACGCGAGTGGGTGGATGTCTACGATGCTGAGAGATGCGACTGTTGAGAACTCTCTAGAGAGGTGCGCTGGGAGGAAAGCCATGGATGGAAAGGCCTCTTTGCCACCGAGAAGCATAGGAAATCCATGGCTAGCAAGGGGACTGTTATGACGACAAAGTATTGCGTAATTCGGGCCTAGTATGGTTCTTATGGTGAAACCGTCTCCTACGAATCGAGCTTCGCCCACGAATCCTATCAGTTGGAGTGGTGCGGACTTAGACAACCCCGCTTAAACTAGCAGATTTGTACAGGTCGAAGTGGGTCCGCCAGGCTGTAAAAAAACGGCCCGTTTTCTGCTGATGTGACAGGAGGGAGACTGTGATTAGTGTAAGGCTGTTCACTGGCTCCTGGCGAAGTCCGAGGCTATTGAAACGGCCGACAGACCCTGCGAGTGGGGTTATTGTGGCGTCAGTACTGCGTGCTATTGCTCTTGCAGATGGGTGGTAGTGGTAAGGTTGAGGGGAAAATGGCTGAACAACGCTCTCTAGAGGAAGAAAGGCGGCCGTCTTTTCCAGGCCGTCGATGTTGAGTCGCAGAGGTCCAGTTACTGCGATGTGTGTGTATACTACTTTTACGAGTCGCACGATGGCGTAATACGACACTGTTCGCGAGTCGGCCGGAAGGGAGTGGACCGTCGTCCTTCCCACCCACCCTTATAGTCGCTACGCAATAAACATTTATTGTTTCAGAAGGTGGTTGTGCGAAAGACGAGAGTACAAGAGACGAGACGAGACAGGAGGCTGCACTGCAAGTAGCCAAGCTTGTGTGCAAAACCAAAGCGACTTGCGTGAAGTGAAGCCTCCCATAGGTGGTGTGGGTTGAGGGGACCAGCCAGAAGGTTCGGTTTTGCTTCCTGTTGATTGCGAAGCTCCCGTGGCTGAGATTTGTGGCGCGGTGCGCGAAGGGGTAACGGATGCTGAACTTGAATCGTTTCACCTCGGCGCAGTGCGTTCGTGTTTGAGTATGTGCGGTTTTGTGCGTTAATTTCCATACCTAGGCAAACGAACATCTAAGAAATGAAATTTTGTGAGCGGGTGGACAAATCCCGCCATGCATGTTGATTGAGTTGCACCATTTCGAGAAATCTGTCCAACACGCAGGGCAACAGCAAGTGGAGGCCGACACAAACGAAGAACGCGATTCGGAATTTGCGCCTCGAGTTAATAGCGCCAAAACTCGTTTATTCCAATCTCGCTTTGCCACGTGTTCAGATGTGCCAAGGCCAGTGGGATGTGACAACCACGAACATTGTGATCATTGAGTGCCCTTTAGATGTATTAGGTACACCTCTATAGCCATCAAATAAATTAACGTCGTTCCATATAATTAACTCTGCCTTGTCACTTTCTTCCCCAAAACCTATGCGTCTCTCTAAATCCTTTGAATGCTGATTCGAACAGGATGTGGAATAATCACTGACCACTATCGGCCTAAGGTTGGCAAGTGACGCTGAATGCTGAGTTTCGGCACACTTCTGCCCACTGCAGGCAACAAATGAGACTACATGGGAGATGAGACGCCCAGCCTGTGTTTGAGAGAGTCCCCACATGGGAGAGAGAATTCCATTCCGCACTTGAAGCAAAGGTCTTTTCAATTTGACATAAAGTTTACACATAAGTACCCCCATGCAGAAGCTTCATTATAACAGAAGCCTGATCGACCATCAGGTTCTCAAAGTTCTTGATCGCCTTGTCAGCATCCGCACTTGGAAGCCTAGTTGTGTACACAAGGTCTTATCAAGGTGACCTTGGAGTAGACTCACAGGTCACTTCACACAACAGCATCATCACGCAGAGGCTCCATCAAGCATCAGCTTCTCATAGTTCTTGATCGCCTCGTCAATGGTTACTTTAGTGTCGAGTCGACTCATTAGGTACCGTACTTCAAGCAAAAGTCTCATCACCCAAAAGCCTCATCAAGCCGAAGCCTCATCCAGCATCAGCTTCTCGAAATTCTTGATCGCCTCGTCAATGCTCGCCAGCTCAGCCGCCAGCTTGGCAGCCTTGCTCGCATTCTCCTCCCGCACATTCGCTGGCACCTTCTCCTCGTACCCCGGCACGCCCATCTTCTTGGCAAGAGCCTCCTGCAGCCTGGTGGTGGGTGAAACGACAAGAGAGAGACAATGCAGAGTATCACAGTGCGTGCCTGGAATACAACGTTCTCCTCCTACCCCGGCACACCCATCTTCTTTGTCAGTGCTTCCTGCAACGTGGTGGGTGAAATGACAAGAGAGAGACAATGCAGAGTATTACAGTGAACGTGGAAAACAACGTTCTCCTCCTACCCCGGCACACCCATCTTCTTTGCCAGTGCTTCCTGCAACGTGGTGGGTGAAATGACAAGAGAGAGACAATGCAGAGTATTACAGTGAACGTGGAAAACAACGTTCTCCTCTTACCCCGGCCCGACACACCCATCTTCTTGGCCAGCGCCTCTTGAAGCCTGGTGGGTGGAAAATGAAGAATGCAATTCACAACATGGATGAAGGGTAACAGCTCGCTGCCATTCTCCTCCTCTCCTCGTACCCCGGCACGCCCATCTTCTTGGCAAGAGCCTCCTGCAGCCTGGTGGGTGGAAAGAAAATAACCAAATTGCCCATAATTTGTCTCTAGAATATGCTTACTGTACAAGAAGCACTTATGAAGAGGATGGGTGTAATCAGCACGGTTCAAGTGTAGTGGGACAATCTGAAGTGGGGTCAAACTTCGCAAGGGGGAGAGCAAGTCACTCACTTGGCGGTTTCGTTCTTGCGCTTGCGCAGTGACTTTTGAGTTGACTCATAAGTCTTTTGAGTTGACTCAAAAGTCACCTTGTAATCAGCAAGGTTCAAGTGGAGTGGGACAATCTGAAGTGGGGTCAAACTACACAAGGGGAAGAGCAAGTCACAAGGCGGTTTCGTTCTTGCGCTTGCGCAGCTTCTGTGCCTCTGCCTTGGCATCCACCATGCCTCTCAGCAGTGCACCCACAAGTGTGTTACTGAGTTGACTCAAAACACGAATCATGCCTCTCAGCAGTGCGGCCACAAGAGCTAATCACTGACAGCAGGTTCTCACCAGGCAGAGGCCCTCACCACCAGCAGGGGCTTTGAACAGCAAGGCCTGTTGTGAGCCAGCTAAGACCAGTACTCACTTGGAGGTCACTTTTGAGAATTCTCAAGAGTGATTTCCCAGCAGGGGCTTTGAACAGCAAGGCCCGTTGTGAGCCAACTAAGACCAGTACTCACTTGGAGGTCACTTTTGAGAATTCTCAAGAGTGATTTCCCAGCAGGGGCTTTGAACAGCAAGGCCCGTTGTGAGCCAACTAAGACCAGTACTCACTTGGAGGTTTCGCCCTTGCGCTTGCCCAGCTTCTGCGCTTCTGCTTTCGCATCTACCATCCCTCTCAGCAGCACGTGCACCGATAGGCTCTCATCCACTATTGCCACTGCACACCCTGCCGGGGCGGCCTCCCCTGCTGGGAGCACCTGTGAGGGGAGAGAGGCGAGGGAAAGGCAAGGGGTATGGAAGAAGAGGAATGAGTGGCAGGATGAAATGGGACCCATTAACCCCCTCAGAAGCAGCAGCAGCAGAAGAAGCACCACCACTAACCCCCTCAGCAGCACGTGCACCGAGAGACTCTCATCCACTATCGCCACTGCACACCCTGCTGGGGCTGATTCCCCTGCTGGGAGCACCTGTGACGGGGGAGGAGGGGAGGGAGGCGGGGTAGGAACGAAACAGTGAGGCAGCTAGAGGCAACTGCAGCAGCAGCAGCAGCTGCAGCACCACCACGACCACCATGCCCCTCAGCAGCACGTGCACCGAGAGCAGCAGCAGCAGCAGCAGCCGTATCACTCGGCAAGTATGCTACAAGCCTTTGACTGTCACTATAAACCTACCTATCCAACCTTCACTCCTTCATACCTGCAGCTCTGCTAGAGTGGCAAGAGTCTTGATCTCGCCAACAGCAGCCGAGACAGCAGCAGTAGCAGCTTCGGACTTGCAATGAGCATACGCGGTGGGCCGCTGCTTGGGCTGCAGGGCATACGCCATACGGAGGGAGCGGATGGAGCGAACAGCACTCTCTGCTGTCGCCATCATTGCCTCTGCCTCGAGGTCTGCCCATTCCTGTTGGTGGGTGCAGAGGGGTGCAGAGGGGTGCAAGGGGTGTCAGGTTAGAAGGAGAGACACATAGAATGAGCCGTTGCCTGGGATGGCTGCAGCGCATAGGCGGGTGGAGCGAACCGCGCTTTCTGCCGTCGCCATCATTGCCTCTGCTTCGGGGTCCGCCCATTCCTGTTGGTGGGAGCAGAGGGGTGCAGAGGGGAGCAGAGGGGTGCAGAGGGGATCAGAGCAGTGCAAAGGGATGTCAGGGTGGATTGATGGACACATAGAGTCGGCCTCTGTCCGGGCTGCAGGGCATAGGCCATGCGCAGGGAGCGAATGGAGCGAACCGCACTCTATGCCGTTGCCATCATTGCCTCTGCTTCAGGATCAGCCCACTCCTGCCATGCCATGGGTACAGAGGGGTGGCGAGGGGTGCAGAGGGATGTCAGGGTGGAGTGAGGGACACAAAAAGTCAGCCGCTGCTTGGGCTGCAGCGCATACGCCATGCGGAGGGAGCGAATGGAGCGAACTGCGCTTTCTGCCGTTGCCATCATTGCTTCTGCCTCTGGGTCAGCCCTCTACTGTTGGTGGGTGCAGAGGGGAGCAGAGAGGGGAGCAGAGGGGGGTGCAGAGGGGGGTGCAGAGAGGGGTGACTTTTGAGACGTGCAGAGAGGGGTGCAGAGGGGTGCAGAGGGGTGCAGAGGGGTGCAAGGGGTGTCAGCCGTTGCCTGGGATGGCATAGATCATGCGGAGGGAGCGGATGGAGCGAACTGCTCTCTGCTGCCGCCATTGTTGCCTGTGCTTCAGGGTCCGGCCCCTCCTGCCAAGAGGTCACGAGAGATGCAGAGGGGTGCAGCGGGGTATAAGGGTTGGAGGGAATCTCAGAGTGCTAGCTAGTCACAGTCAGGGCTGTAGCCCTGCATGTCAAAGGTGATTCACAGTAAGGGCTGCAGGGCATACGCCATGCGGAGGGAGTGGATGGAGCGAACTGCACTCTCTGCTGTCACCGCCATCATTGCCTCAGAGAATAGCTCAAAAGTGCTTCGGGATGGAGCAGTGAGAGTGACAGGGTGCTGACTTGCCCGAATAGGAGGACAGAATCGTCAGCACACTTTGACACCGTGAGCATACCTTGACCGGCGAAGGGTAGGGGGTGAGCATGATCGAAGGCCACGAATAGTCTGCTGGCTTGGGCAGACGCTGCCAGAGCTCCTCCGTGACGAATGGCATGAAGGGATGCAGCAGACGCAGACCCGCGTCCAGACACACCCAGAGGACCTCGCGCGTCACCTGCGGGTGGTAGAGAGGGGTGGAGAAGGGTGGAGGGGGGTAGGAAGCGGTGGAGAGAGTTGGAAAGGGGTGGGGAAGGGTGGAGGGGGGTGGAGGGTTAACATGGAGGTGAGGAAATAGAAGGAGCCAGAGCTCCTCCGTCACGAATGGCATGAAGGGGTGCAGCAGACGGAGGCCGGCGTCCAGACACACCCAGAGGACCTCGCGCGTCACCTGAGAGCACTGGAGTGGGGTAGGAAGGAAGGGGCGGAGAGGGATGGAGACAGGCAGAGAGGAGTGGAGAGGGGTGGTACGGCATGAAGAGGTGCAGCAAGCACAGACACGCATCCAGAACACACACACGGAACACAGCGTGTACTGTCACCGACTCACCGTACATACACAGCACAGCTGATACCCACTCTACTCTTGCAAGTATAACCCCAGCAGCTATGTTGGTTCGGACGCCCGTAGGGTGGCTCGTCCAGCGTCCCGACGTTCGGGGAAAAGTTTTTGGGGCAGCCTGGAATTTCGCGACTGGCAAAGATTGCCTCGCGAATTCGCGATTGGCGATTTCGACACAATCTCCAATGCGTCGAAATCTAACCCCCTACCACCAGGCTACTACAACAACTTTGCCAGCCCAACTAAATGTCCCCCCTTTAACCTAACTTCACCGCACTGAATCTACAAAACCAAACCGGCACACAACCAATTTCAAATTTGGCCAGCAGGAACAGGTCGTCAATTCAGTTTCCAGATCTACTCGAACTCTTCCATTTCCTGTTTTGCCCCAAGAATCCCCTCTCCCTCTTCTCCGCTATATTTTTTTCCCTGCCCCGACAAGTTTTTTCGGCTGCCCAGACCAGCGTCCGGGGAGCGTCCTAGCGGGGGTCAGTTCCCGCGTCCGGACGGACGCGTTATGGACGCTGGACGCGTCCGATCCAACATAGCCCACCAGCAGCTCCAACCCACCTGTTTCAGCTTGAGTGCTTCCTCTCCTCCAGCTGCATTGAAAGCCGGCTTAGCAACCTCAATAAACACGCCGCACAGCTGGTACTGCCACCACGCGTACGCTGCTGGGCTGCACAAGGTTGCTAGAGCAGTGCAGCCCCCACCTAGCAGTAACCTACCTGCTTCAGCTTGAGTGCTTCCTCCCCTTCAGCCGCATTGAAGGCCGGCTTGGCCACTTCAATGAACACGTCGCACAGCTGGTACTGCCACCACGCGTACGCCGCATTCGTCGCCTCTGCCAGGTCATACCCCTCCAGCGCGGTTACCGCACGCGTAACCGCGTCGTTGAGCACCGAGAGAATCCAGCGACAGGCCAGCGGGAGCGGCGCGGAAAAGGCGAAGTTGAGCGGGGGAGTGAGGGCAGGAGAGGAGGAGGAGGAGGAGGAGGAAGAGGGTTGGGGGAGGACGGACGGGGGCGTGAAGGAGTCTCCGAGGTTGAGCATGGCGAATCGGATTGCGTTCCAGAGCTTGTTGCACCAGAGACGGTAGCCGTGCACTCGCTGAATGTCCAGATTGATGTTCATCCACTGAAGGGGAAAAGAGAGGAGAGGGGAACGGGTGGGGCAGTAGAGTGGTGAGTAAGTCATCTCACACCCACATCACAGCTTGTTGCACCAGAGGCGGTAGCCGTGCACTCGCTGCATGTCAAGGTTTATGTTCATCCACTGGGGGTTGGGGGAAGAGGGTAGAGGGCAGAGAGAGAGGGCGGAGAGTGAGGAGAGGTGGGGCATTTGAGCAGTGAGTGAGCCTTCTCACATGCACAGCACAGCTTGTTGCACCAGAGGCGGTAGCCGTGCACTCGCTGAATGTAAAGGTTGATGTTCATCCACTGGGGAAGGTGGGGGGAAGGGATGGAAGTAGGATGAGTGGATAAATCGATTCTCGTTGAGAGCTTGTTGCACCAGAGGCGGTAGCCCTGCACTCGCTGAATGTCCAGGTTGATGTTCATCCACTGGGGAAGGGAGGAAAAGGTGGGGAAAGAGGGGGGAAAAAGGGTTTGGGAGGGAGGGGGAAGGAAACAGGGAAGAGGCAGTCTTGCACTAAAATGAGGTAGATTCGCCTTCAGCTCATGCAAGCACATGTAAGCACATGTAAGCACATGTAAGCACATGTAAGCTCAGACCCAAAAGAACACATTCAGACCCAAAAGAACACATTCAGACCCAAAAGAACACATTCAGACCCAAAAGAACACATTCAGACCCAAAAGAACACATTCAGACCCAAAAGAACACATTCAGACCCAAAAGAACACATTCAGACCCAAAAGAACACATTCAGACCCAAAAGAACACATTCAGACCCAAAAGAACGTACCCGAGTGGTGTAGTTGACAAGGGCAAACCGCAGGGCATCGCACCCACACTCAGCGATCCCTTTAGGGAAATCCGCGGCCTGCCCTGCCTGCGCCTCCTTCACCTCGAGCAGATTGCCCTGCTCGAGGCGATGCTGTCGATCAGGAGTTTAAAGAAGAACCCACGCCTAGTGACCGTACCTGTGTCGTGTAGTTGACCAGGGCGAAGCGCAGGGCATCACAGCCGCACTCAGCAATCCCGTTGGGGAAGTCCGCAGCCTGCCCTGCCTGCGCCTTGTTCACCTCCCGCGGGTCCAGATTGCCCTTCTCCAGATTCGCCTGCAGCTGCTGCAGGGAGATGCCGTTGATCACCTCCAGAGGGTCAATGACATTGCCCAGTGATTTGGACATCTTTCGGCCATGAGCGTCGCGCACCATTGCGTGGAGATACACCTGTGGGGGAGTAGAGGGGTGAGCCGAGAGAAGAGTGGGTGGGGGATGGGTGGAGGGTGCAGCTGCTACAGGGAGATGCCGTTGATCACTTCAAGCGGGTCGATCACGTTGCCCAGTGACATCTTGGACAAATTGCGCCCATGAGCGTCTCGCACCATGGCGTGCAGGTAGACCTGTGGGAGGGTTGGGGAGGTGAAAGAAGTGAAAGGAGAGAGGAATGGGTGGGAATGAAAGGAGCCCGCAGCTGCTGCAGGGAGATGCCGTTGATCACCTCCAATGGGTCGATCACGTTGCCCGGCGACTTTGACATCTTGCGCCCATGTGCGTCGCGAACCATGGCGTGCAGGTAGACCTGTGGGGGGGGTTGGAGAGTGAGTAAGAGTGATGGGGTGTGAGACTTTTCATGCTCCAGATTCGCCTGCAGCTGCTGCAGGGAGATGCCGTTGATCACCTCCAGAGGGTCGATCACGTTGCCCAGTGACTTGGACATCTTGCACCCATGTGCATCTCGGACCATCGCGTGCAGGTAGACCTGTGGGGGAATGGATGGGGAGAATGCTGATAAAGTTCAAAGAGGGTTGAAGGAGATGGGTATGGCACCCTAGCACTCCTTGGCACCACTTTTCCCCCACCCAGCCCTGCTGCCTGAAACACAGCAAACCAAAGCCATCCACTGTGCGCCTCGCACAGACCTGCTTGATCAGCAGCTGTCCTGTGAGTCTCAGACCGACCCATGACGAAGACCATCCGAGCGACCTAGAAGAAGAGGTTATCATGCCCCGTCTCCAGCAGCGAGAAGCGGGAACCTAGCACCATCCGGACACCCTCCTCTGCACCCCTTGGCACCCCTTGGCACCCTCTTTCAACAGCTTTCACCACTTTACACCCACCTTTGCACCCACCCATACACCTGCGTCAAGGGCAGCTGCCCACTCAACCACAGCCCGATGAACACCATGCGAGCAGCCCAGAAGAAGAGAATGTCACGCCCCGTCTCCAGCAGCGCCCTATGGCACCCTAGATCCATCCAGACAGCCCTCTTCACTCCCTTGCACCCCTCTGCACCGCTCACCTGCTTGAACGGCAGCTGTCCCGTCAACCGAAGCCCCATGAACACCATTCTTGCGACCCAGAAGAAGAGGATATCATGCCCCGTCTCCAGCAGCGCGGTTGGGTAAAACGTCTTGAAATCAGCCGTCTCCTCCGGCCACCCAAACACTGAAAATGGAAACAGCCCCGACGAAAACCACGTGTCGAGCACGTCCGGGTCACGCCCGAGCTCGAATTTTCTGCCCGGGAACGTCTTTTCGGCTGCCCGGCGCGCTTCTTCATCGGTGCGGGCGACGACCCAGTTGGTGTTGTACGCGCCGAAGTCGCGGACGGGGAAGTCGCAGGCGGCGGCCTCGTCTGATTGGTCGAAGGTGACGTACCACGCAGGAATGCGGTGTCCCCACCAGAGCTGGCGGGAAATGCACCAATCACGGATGTTCTCCAGCCATCTGAGATAGAGGGTGGGAGAGCGAGAGGGAGGGAGAGAGGAGTGGGGGGGTGGAGAAGAGTTCGGGAGGAGTGTATGAGTGTGTGTGCCTCGTCTGATTGGTCGAAGGTGACGTACCACGCCGGGATGCGGTGGCCCCACCAGAGCTGTCGGGATATGCACCAATCACGGATGTTCTCGAGCCATGGGGAGGGGGGGTCAGAAGGAGAATCGGGGGAGCAGGGGGAGGGGAGTTGGTGAGATAGAGTGCGCATGCCAAGGAACAATAAGGTGGCCCCACCAGAGCTGGCGGGAAATGCACCAATCATGGATGTTCTCCAGTCATCTGGAACAGGGAGTGAGGGGAGGAGAAGAATTTGGGGGAGTGTGATTTGAGTATCTATATGGGGGGGGGGGAGATGGCAGGAAACAAAGAGCAGGCCCCACCCCACTGCCGGGAAATCCACCAATAAAAAACGAACCAGTCAACCCCACCCAACCCACCTGAATCCCGTCTCCTCGTGCGCCCTTGGGGATGAACTCCAGCGGGCCGTCCCTCACAGCCTGGCGTCCACATCAGTTTGGTGGCCTGATGGTAACCACCTGCTTCTGTCACAGCCTAACCCAGTTACCACCTATGCCACTACTAGTAACCACCCTCCCCAGGGCCCACCTGAACCAGGTCTCCTCGTGTGCCTTGGGGATGAACTCGAGCTGGCCATCCTGGACAGTCTGGCACACTTTGGCCAGGTAACCACCTGCTTCTGCAACAGCCTTTCCCAGTGACCACCTGCCCTAGTAAGCACCGGCTTCAGGAAATCACCCACCTGAACCATGTCTCCTCGTGAGCCTTAGGGATGAACTCCAGCTGGCCGTCCCTGACAGCCTGGCACGCGTCAGCCGCCACGTCAGCGCAGCTGACATACCACTGCGGCTTGAGCATGGGCTCAATAATATCCTTGCTGCGCGAGCAGAAGCCCAGGCGCATAGGATTGTCTGCCACGCCCCTGTAGAGACCCTGCAGTTACAAAAATGAAAGGGCAAAGAGAGAAATCAGAGGCTTGAGCATGGGCTTGATCATGTCCCTGCTGCGCGAGCAGAAGCCCAGCCGCATGGGGTTGTCCACTACACCCCTGTACAGCCCCTGCAGTTTCAAAGACCATCAGGGAGGGAGGAAGGCTTGAGCGTGGGCTTGATGATGTCCTTGCTGCGCGAACAGAAGCCCAGGCGCATGGGGTTATCTGCCACTCCCCTGTAGAGACCCTGTGAAAGAAGAGTGGTAGCGCAGAAGAGAGTGAGAGCAAGCGCTTGAGCATAGGCTCTATGGAGTCCTTCCTTGCTTGCTGCGAGAACAGAAGCCCAGTCGCATGGGGTTGTCTGCCACGCCTCCCCTGCAAGTACGGCATAAGGAGAGGAGTAGTGATAAGGCAGGAGAAAGAAAAGGCTTGAGCATGGGCTCTATGATGTCCTTGCTGCGCGAACAGAAGCCCAGCCGCATGGGGTTGTCTGCCACTCCCCTGTAGAGACCCTGAAGAAAGAGGAAGGAACAAACAGTGTCTGTATAGAGCAAGGCGTCAGCATGGGCTTTATGATGCCCTTGATGCGTGAGCAGAAGCCCAGGCACATGGGGTTGTCTGCCACTCCCCTGTATAGACCCTGCAGGAGGGGAAGCAAGGGAGAAAAGTAACATAGGGCAGAGAGATAGCATGGCTTGGGCATGCACTCTATGATGTCCAGACGCATGGGACTGTCTGTCTGCTACTCTGCTTGCTACGAGTGTGTGTGTGTGTGTGTGTGTGTGTGTGTGTGTGTGTGTGTGTGTATGTGTGCGTGGGTAAGTCCCTACAATCCTTCTCACCTTCTCCTGCAGCTTCTCCAGCACGGCAGTGCGCGCGTCAAACCGCTTCATCCCTTTGAACTCCTTCCCACCGTTGGCGTTGATCAGCCCATCATCCGTAAAGATGTTGATGAACTCCAGGTTGTGTCGCTTGCCCGTGGCGAAATCGTTGGGGTCATGGGCAGGCGTGATCTGATGGACATAGAGAAGCAGTGTGCGTGTGAGAGAGAGAGAGAGAGAGAGAGAGAGAGAGAGAGAGAGAGAGAGAGAGAGAGAGAGAGAGAGAGAGAGAGAGAGAGAGAGAGAGAGAGGGAATGAGGGTTGAGAATTGGCGTTGATCAGCCCACCATCCGTGAAGATGTAAAAAAACTCCAGATTATGGCGCTTGCCGGTGGCGAAATTGTTGGGGTCATGTGCAGGAGTGATCTGACAAGCAGCGAAGGGAGAGGTAGTGAGAGGGTGGGACAGTGGGACAGAGAGGAAATCGAATTGAGTGCTAAGTTATGGGTTGACTCAGAAGCCCATCGTCCGTGAAGATGTTTATGAAATCCAAATTATGGCGCTTGCCAGTGGCAAAATCGTTGGGGTCGTGAGAAGGCGTGATCTGATGGGAGGGGAAAGAGGAGAGAAGTATTTAGAGAGTGGGAGAGAAGTATTTCGAGAGTGGGAGAGAGAGGGAATCAGACTGAGTGCTGATTTTTGGGTTGACACAGAAGCCCATCGTCCGTGAAGATGTTTATGAAATTATTTTTGCCGGTCGCGGGGAGTAATCTGACAAACAGGGAGGCAGGATGGAGAGGCAGTGTGTGCGTGTGGGGGGAAGAGAGTGAATGCGAGTGGGAGTTGGCGCATCAGAGGCCAATCATCCGTGAAAAGGAAAGAAATCCAGGTTGTGCCCCTTTCCCGTGGCGAAATCGTTCGAGTCGTGAGCAGGTGTGATCTGATGGGAGGGTGGGGGGAATAAACAAATAGAGAACCGGCGTGTGTGTGTGGGAGAGAGATCGGGGGTGAGTGTGAGAAATGAGTTTGGGTTGACTCAGACGCCCATCGTCCGTGAACATGTTAATGAACTCCAGCTTGTGCCACTTGCCCATGGCTAAATCGTTGGGGTCGTGGGCAGACGTGATCTGACATGTGGAGAGGTGAGAGGGACAGGGGGAGGGGAAGGGAGAGAGTAAATCAGGCTTCAAGGAACATAAGTAAGACTTTTGGGACGTCTCAAAGGGAACATGAGGGAGAACTATTGGGGGGACGGAGGATTAGAATAGGACCATTTCAATACTCCCCAATTGAGATCCACTACTCCAGCATCTAGAAAACCTTCTCACTTTTTCCAAATCCCCACTCATCCTCATCTTGACAGCACCAGTCCCAAACGTCATATCCACCAGCTCCGAATCGCACACAATCAGGATGCTCTCATTCAGTGCTTACCCCCCTTCCCCTGCCACTTACCCCCACTCTCACCCCCCCTTGCTCTCACCTGCACAGCACCGGTCCCAAACGCCATATCCATCAGCACTGCATCGCACACAATCAGGATCTGCCTGCAAGCTTGCCCCTTCCCCTCTCTCTCGTCACTCTTCCCCGCCTCTCTCCCCCTTTGCCCCCTTATCTCTCACCTTGACAGCACCGGTCCCAAACGCCATATCCACCAGCTCCGCATCGCACACAATCGGGATCCTCTCATGCAGTGCGTATCCCCCCTTCCCCTTCCCCTAGCACCCTCCCTCCCCACTTCTTTTGCTCTCTCTCACCTTCACAGCGCCGGTCCCAAACGCCATATCCACCAGCTCTGCGTCGCACACAATCAGCTCAGCGCTAGAGCGAAATCCTCGCCCCTACTCCGACACCTTTCCCCTCCCACCTCTTGCTCGCACCTTCACAGCGCCGGTCCCAAAAGCCATGTCCACCAGCTCCGCATCGCACACAATCGGGATACTTCTCCCGCTGAACGGGTGCACTGCAAACTTGCCATGAAGTGCCTTATAACGAGGATCATCCGGATGAACCGCCACAGCAGTATCACCCAGCATGGTCTCCGGCCTGGTGGTTGCCACCACAATCTCAGTCAAAGCCCCCTCGCCTTCTCCCTGTGCTGAGTCGGCTTCTAAAGGGTATGCAAAGGAGGTGATGGCTCCGAATTCCACTGGCTTTTCGTAGCCAGGGACAGGGAGGAGGGTTCGGCCCTTGAGCTCGTGGTATTCCACCTGGGAAGGGCGGAAAGGAGAGGGCAGGTGTGAGATTTAAATGAGTCATGCTTGTTGTAGCCTGGGACAGGGAGGAGCGTGCGCCCCTTCAGCTCGTGGCATTCCACCTGAGAAAGCATAGAAAAGAAGAGGGGCGGAGAAGGGGGGGGGTGGGGGGCGAGGTTGGGGTAGTAGCTCATAATGGGTCAGCTCATAACGGGGGGGTATGCAACACTGGCTGGTACGGCCCTTGAGATCATGGTACTCCTCCTAGGAAAGGAATGACACATTTGTCAGATTATTACTGCACTGCTTCGCTGTGGCTAGCGGCAGGTATGAATGGATGCATGCCTGCCTTATAGGTGATAACAATGCATTATCCATACCAAAGGCTGAAACACCATACCTCAATATCGGAGATGGCTGTTCGGAGGACACAGTCCCAGTTGACCAGGCGATTGTCCCTGCAGGCAGGGTGATGATGGGGGCGGAGAGGAAAACAAGTGGCGAACAGCACACCTTGAACAGACCAGTTGACAATGCTCCAACCAATGGACTCAATGCACGGCAACTCACCAAAGGGTGAGTGCTGAAAACCCTAACTCAGCCCTTCTCTTCCACACTCATAAGCTACTCACCTGTAGATGAGCCCCTGGTCGTGCAGGCAGAAACTTTTGTCTTTCGCACCTCACCAAAGCACACAGCCCCGCAGCACATTGCCCCACAGAACACAGGCCCCCCCATAACACCCCACAGCACACCCCAGACGAACACATCCGTTTGCCGAACCGAACACTGTTCGGTTCGGCGAACACTTTAAGCAAAAACACGTGTTCGCCGTTCGCCTGTGAAGGCATGTTCGGGCGAACATCGAACACGTTCGTGTTCGTCGCGGGGCAAATTGCAGCAGCGGCCCGAACACGAACGTGTTCGGGCGAACATCGAACACTGTTCGGCGAACAATTTAAGCAAAAAAAACAAACCTGTTTCGAGGCGAACCGAACAGGTGTTCGCCCTTGTGCTCATGTCTAGCACACCCACAGCACCCCACACAGCACCCCACAGCACCCACAGCAACCCACAGCACCCCACAGCACCCATCACCCACCCATGGGCCCACAGTCAAAAGCTACTCACCTGTAGATGAGCCCCTGGTCGTGCAGGCGGACAAAGGCCTCTGTAACGGCACGGGAGAGCTTGTCATCCATGGTGAAGCACTGGGGGGAGGGAGAAAGGGAAGGAGGGAGATTCAGCGCGGGATTCGAGAAGAGAGAGGGGCATCGAGTGATGTGTACGGCGCGGGAGAGCTTGTCGTCCATGGTGAAGCACTACTGAAGGGGGGGGAGGGAGAGGGGGGTGGATGGAAGAGGAGGAAGGGTAGTGAAGAGATTTATCGCTTATAGCGAGCAACAACCACCACCCGCCACCTGTAGATGAGCCCCTGGTCGTGCAGGCGGAAAAATGCCTCTGTGACGGCTCAAGAGAGCTTGTCATCCATGGTGAAGCACTGAAAGGGGTTAGAAGGGGGAGGTGGGGAGATGGGAGGTGGGGAGATGGGAGGTGGGGAGATGGGAGGTGGGGAGACGGGAGGTGGGGAGATGGGAGGTGGGGAGACGGGAGGTGGGGCGATGGGAGGTGGGGGGACGGGAGGTGGGGGGATGGGAGGAGGGGGATGGGGAGGGGGGGGAGGAGGAGGAGGGGGGCATTCGGAGACGAAAGAGAGGCCTTTTTAAACAAGCACGAGACAGATTGGATGGGACGACCATGATGAATAATTGCGGGAGGAGGGGTAGAAAAGGGGGGGAAATGGAACAAGTCAGGTGAGGAAATCGTCACTTAGATACATCGAGAAGAGAAGAAAAAAAAAAAATCTCGGGGATAACCCTGGGCGAGAGTGTTCTCATGCATGCTCACCTCTCGGGACCAGTCAAGAGACGCCCCCATCTTGCGCTGCTGGTTCCCAATGCGGCCCCCATAGTCCTCCTTCCACTTCCACACCTGCACTCGTAGAGAGAGAGAAAGCAAGCACACGATGCAGGCACAGCACAGGCAAGAGGTGACATTTGATTCGACTGAAAAGCCATGGCGCTTGCAGAACAAAAAAGAATTGCTCTCAAACCGAACCGGGCCTTAGAAAGAACGGGTGGGCGAACAAATAACAAGAAGAAAACAAACGAACAAAAATAATGAAGTATGCAGCAACTATCAACAGAGGCCAGTAACGGGGAATGGGCATGCCGTGCATAGCCTAGCATTGAGACGTCTCAAAACGAGGCCAGTAACGGGGAATGGGCATGCCGTGCATAGCCTAGCATACCTCCTTGACGAAGTCTTCCCTGCCCACGTCGTGGCGAGACAAGCCTTTCTCCCTCATGAGCTTCTTTTCCACCACCACCTGCCAACCAGGCGAGGGAGGGGAAGGGAGTGAGGGCAAGGGAGAGACGATGAGGTATTGGAGAGGAGTGGGTGATGAGTCGACTCGACGTCACATCGCAGCGAGACAGACCCTTCACCCACATCAGCTTCTTCTCCACCACCACCTGCCAGAGAAAGGGATGGGAGGGAAGACGAGGGTAGAGGAAGAGAGGAACGATGCGGTGATGGAGTGTAGGGTTGTGAGTCGACTCCAAGTCACGTCGTGACGGGACAGACCCTTCTCCCTCATCAGCTTCTTCTCCACCACCACCTGCCAGAGAAAGGGATGGGAGGGAAGACGAGGGTAGAGGAAGAGAGGAACGATGCGGTGATGGAGTGTAGGGTTGTGAGTCGACTCCAAGTCACGTCGTGACGGGACAGACCCTTCTCCCTCATCAGCTTCTTCTCCACCACCACCTGCCAAGCAGGGGATGGAAGGGGAATGGGAGGGGAGGGGGTGAGGTGATGGGGGGGGGAGGGTTGTGCGTCGAACCAAAATCACTTCATGGCGAGAGACAGACCATTCTCCCGCATCAGATTCTTCTCCACCACCACCTCCCAGACCAATGGAGGGGAGTGGAAGGGAGGAAAACGATGAGGTGATGGAGGAGAGGAGAGGGTTGCGAGTCCTCCCTGCCCATGTCGTGGTGAGACAGACCCTTCTCCCACATAAGCTTCTTCTCCACCACCACCTGCCAACCAGCGGTGAGGAGGGGAGAGGATGGGGGGGACAAAGTGATGAGAGGAGATATGGTTGATGCTGCTGTCAGCCTCAGCCCCAAGAATCATGACATGTTGAAACATGATTGTGATACAAGCTACCTACTCTAAATGGTGCCTGATAAACAAGGTGCTAAACGTTACCATCGACTATATAACACAGTGCTGCAATAAACAGCCCTTTTAACAAGTGAAAACGAATGAAGATAACGGGCAATGATTTCAGCCTCACACAAACACGCAAATATGTAGATATTCAGAAGCAACAGAAAGGAATACACAACGTTAGTGGAAGTGGAACTGCATAGCAGGACATGACAATGAGTTGAAACCGCTGAGCATGTATTCCAGAGCGCAGTGCACAGTGCCTAGCAGAGCGTATTCCAGAATATAATGTCTTCAGTGTCGGCATCCGATTGATCTTGAAAAGGAAAGTAGGTAGCCAGCAGCTTTGGCAATGTGTCCAATACATAATTGACAGTGCCAATACCACACACACCGCACCCAATCGCCTTCACCACCCGTACGCACCTGAGTGGCAATGCCAGCGTGGACTGTCCCCGGCACCCAGCACACATTGTAGCCACTCATGCGCTTCCACCGCACGATCGTGTCCTCCACTCCAGTGCTGCTGTCAGCCCCACCCAACACACCAGAGTGCCAATACCACACACACCACACCCAATCGCCCTCAACCACCCGTACGTACCTGGGTGGCAATGCCAGCGTGGTCTGTCCCCGGCACCCAGCACACGTTGTATCCACTCATGCGCTTCCACCGCACGATCGTATCCTCCACTCCAGTGCTGCTGTCAGGCCCAAGCCTACTGACTTGAGCACCTTCAGCCAGACACGACTTACCTGGGTGGCAATGCCAGCGTGGTCCGTTCCAGGCACCCAGCACACGTTGTAGCCACTCATGCGCTTCCACCGAACAATCGTGTCCTCCACCGCTGCTGTCAGCCCGTGCCCGATGTGCAGCGCTCCCGTCACATTGGGAGGAGGCACGACCTGTTGGAAACAGGCGTGGGGAAGGGAGGGATGGGGGTTCGGTGAGCTATGAGGAAGAGATTGGGGAAGGACAGTGGGAGGAAGCTCATCCACTGCTGATGTCAGCCCATGCCCAATGTGCAGTGCCCACGTCACATTCGGGGGAGGTACCACCTGTAGGAGAGGGAGGGATGGAGGGGAGGAAAGTTTTGGAGAGCAACGAGCAGAGAGTGGGTGGGATGGGTAGTCAAGCAACAATGGGCTAACCTAGGATAGGAACGTTTCCAGGCTAACCAGGCTATGAAGATTGGATCAGGTCAGATGCAATGCAAGGCAATCGATGCAGGAATACAAGAAGGACAAGCGTGCTTACGATGACAAAGGGAGGCTTAGTGCTCTGGTTGTCGCCCTTGAAGAACCCTGCATGCTCCATCCGGAGTAAACCCACCAATGTCTTTTATTGGGGCGCCTCATAAGAGGAACAAGCTGACTTACAATGACGAAGGGAGGCTTGGTGCTCTGGTTGTCGCCCTTGAAGAACCCTGCATGCTCCCACCACTCGTACCACCTGGTGGGGTGGGGTCGTGAGGTCAAGAGGGAGGGGAGGAAGAAGAAGACGACGCGGGAAAGGAAAGGAAAGGAAAGGAAAGGAAAGGAAAGGAAAGGAAAGGAAAGGAAAGGAAAGGAAAGACTCATATTCAAGCTGGTCTTGGGACATGTTCTCAGCGAGCAAGCTGGAAGACTGCTGTTGAGGCGCCTCAAAAGGAAAGACTCATATTCAAGCTGGAAGACTGCTGTTGAGGCGCCTCAAAAGGAAAGACTCATATTCAAGCTGGAAGACTGCTGTTGAGGCGCCTCAAAAGGAAAGACTCATATTCAAGCTGGAAGACTGCTGTTGAGGCGCCTCAAAAGGAAAGACTCATATTCAAGCTGGAAGACTGCTGTTGAGGCGCCTCAAAAGGAAAGACTCATATTCAAGCTGGAAGACTGCTGTTGAGGCGCCTCAAAAGGAAAGACTCATATTCAAGCTGGAAGACTGCTGTGCACTGTGCTGTGCCTCAGTCGTGTCTGAATGGATACAAGTTTTGAGACGCCTCAAAAGGAAAGACTCATATTCAAGCTGGAAGACTGCTGTTGAGGCGCCTCAAAAGGAAAGACTCATATTCAAGCTGGAAGACTGCTGTTGAGGCGCCTCAAAAGGAAAGACTCATATTCAAGCTGGAAGACTGCTGTTGAGGCGCCTCAAAAGGAAAGACTCATATTCAAGCTGGAAGACTGCTGTTGAGGCGCCTCAAAAGGAAAGACTCATATTCAAGCTGGAAGACTGCTGTTGAGGCGCCTCAAAAGGAAAGACTCATATTCAAGCTGGAAGACTGCTGTTGAGGCGCCTCAAAAGGAAAGACTCATATTCAAGCTGGAAGACTGCTGTTGAGGCGCCTCAAAAGGAAAGACTCATATTCAAGCTGGAAGACTGCTGTTGAGGCGCCTCAAAAGGAAAGACTCATATTCAAGCTGGAAGACTGCTGTTGAGGCGCCTCAAAAGGAAAGACTCATATTCAAGCTGGAAGACTGCTGTTGAGGCGCCTCAAAAGGAAAGACTCATATTCAAGCTGGAAGACTGCTGTTGAGGCGCCTCAAAAGGAAAGACTCATATTCAAGCTGGAAGACTGCTATTGAGGCGCCTCAAAAGGAAAGACTCATATTCAAGCTGGAAGACTGCTGTTGAGGCGCCTCAAAAGGAAAGACTCATATTCAAGCTGGAAGACTGCTGTGCACTGTGCTGTGCCTCAGTCGTGTCTGAATGGATACAAGTTTTGAGACGCCTCAAAAGGAAAGACTCATATTCAAGCTGGAAGACTGCTGTGCACTGTGCTGTGCCTCAGTCGTGTCTGAATGGATACAAGTTTTGAGACGCCTCAAACCTATTCTTCGCACACCCAAGCTCCTCCTTCATCGACGGTTACACTGTATACATCTTCATCGTAGAGCGAATTCGTTACTATGTATACTGTACAGTTCATTTACACTGCACTCACGATGCTTCAACGGCCTTGGGGTTGTACGCCTTGGCCATCTCCTTGGCGAGGTTCTTCTTCTGCCCGGGCTCCGAGGGCGGGTTCACTGCATCCGTGTTATAGAACTGATTCGTAACTATGTACAGACAAGCCAGGGGAACCCAGGCGAACCCAAGGGAACCCAAGGGAACCCAAGGGAACCCAAGGGAACCCAAGGGAACCCAAGGGAACCCAAGGGAACCCAAGGGAACCCAAGGGAACCCAAGGGAACCCAAGGGAACCCAAGGGAACCCAAGGGAACCCAAGGGAACCCAAGGGAACCCAAGGGAACCCAAGGGAACCCAAGGGAACCCAAGGGAACCCAAGGGAACCCAAGGGAACCCAAGGGAACCCAAGGGAACCCAAGGGAACCCAAGGGAACCCAAGGGAACCCAAGGGAACCCAAGGGAACCCAAGGGAACCCAAGGGAACCCAAGGGAACCCAAGGGAACCCAAGGGAACCCAAGGGAACCCAAGGGAACCCAAGGGAACCCAAGGGAACCCAAGGGAACCCAAGGGAACCCAAGGGAACCCAAGGGAACCCAAGGGAACCCAAGGGAACCCAAGGGAACCCAAGGGAACCCAAGGGAACCCAAGGGAACCCAAGGGAACCCAAGGGAACCCAAGGGAACCCAAGGGAACCCAAGGGAACCCAAGGGAACCCAAGGGAACCCAAGGGAACCCAAGGGAACCCAAGGGAACCCAAGGGAACCCAAGGGAACCCAAGGGAACCCAAGGGAACCCAAGGGAACCCAAGGGAACCCAAGGGAACCCAAGGGAACCCAAGGGAACCCAAGGGAACCCAAGGGAACCCAAGGGAACCCAAGGGAACCCAAGGGAACCCAAGGGAACCCAAGGGAACCCAAGGGAACCCAAGGGAACCCAAGGGAACCCAAGGGAACCCAAGGGAACCCAAGGGAACCCAAGGGAACCCAAGGGAACCCAAGGGAACCCAAGGGAACCCAAGGGAACCCAAGGGAACCCAAGGGAACCCAAGGGAACCCAAGGGAACCCAAGGGAACCCAAGGGAACCCAAGGGAACCCAAGGGAACCCAAGGGAACCCAAGGGAACCCAAGGGAACCCAAGGGAACCCAAGGGAACCCAAGGGAACCCAAGGGAACCCAAGGGAACCCAAGGGAACCCAAGGGAACCCAAGGGAACCCAAGGGAACCCAAGGGAACCCAAGGGAACCCAAGGGAACCCAAGGGAACCCAAGGGAACCCAAGGGAACCCAAGGGAACCCAAGGGAACCCAAGGGAACCCAAGGGAACCCAAGGGAACCCAAGGGAACCCAAGGGAACCCAAGGGAACCCAAGGGAACCCAAGGGAACCCAAGGGAACCCAAGGGAACCCAAGGGAACCCAAGGGAACCCAAGGGAACCCAAGGGAACCCAAGGGAACCCAAGGGAACCCAAGGGAACCCAAGGGAACCCAAGGGAACCCAAGGGAACCCAAGGGAACCCAAGGGAACCCAAGGGAACCCCAAGGGAACCCAAGGGAACCCAAGGGAACCCAAGGAACCCAAGGGAAACCCAAGGGAACCCAAGGGAAACCCAAGGGAACCCAAGGGAACCCCAAGGGAACCCAATGGGAACCCAAGGGAACCCAAGGGAACCCCAAGGGAACCCAAGGGAACCCAAGGGAACCCAAGGGAACCCAAGGGAACCCAAGGGAACCCAAGGGAACCCAAGGGAACCCAAGGGAACCCAAGGGAACCCAAGGGAACCCAAGGGAACCCAAGGGAACCCAAGGGAACCCAAGGGAACCCAAGGGAACCCAAGGGAACCCAAGGGAACCCAAGGGAACCCAAGGGAACCCAAGGGAACCCAAGGGAACCCAAGGGAAACCCAAGGGAACCCAAGGGAACCCAAGGGAACCCAAGGGAACCCAAGGGAACCCAAGGGAACCCAAGGGAACCCAAGGGAAACCCCAAGGGAACCCAAGGAACCCCAAGGTGAAACCAAGGAACCCAAGGGAACCCAAGGGAACCCAAGGGAACCCAAGGGAACCCAAGGGAACCCAAGGGAACCCAAGGGAACCCAAGGGAACCCAAGGGAACCCAAGGGAACCCAAGGGAACCCAAGGGAACCCAAGGGAACCCAAGGGAACCCAAGGGAACCCAAGGGAACCCAAGGGAACCCAAGGGAACCCAAGGGAAACCCAAGGGAACCCAAGGGAACCCAAGGGAACCCCAAGGGAACCCAAGGGGAACCCAAGGGAACCCAAGGGAACCCAAGGGAACCCAAGGGAACCCAAGGGAACCCAAGGGAACCCAAGGGAACCCAAGGGAACCCAAGGGAACCCAAGGGAACCCAAGGGAACCCAAGGGAACCCAAGGGAACCCAAGGGAACCCAAGGGAACCAAGGAACCCAAGGGAACCCAGGGAACCCAAGGGAACCCAAGGGAACCCAAGGGAACCCAAGGGAAACCCAAGGGAACCCAAGGGAACCCAAGGGAACCCAAGGGAACCCAAGGGAACCCAAGGGAACCCAAGGGAACCCAAGGGAACCCAAGGGAACCCAAGGGAACCCAAGGGAACCCAAGGGAACCCAAGGGAACCCAAGGGAACCCAAGGGAACCCAAGGGAACCCAAGGGAACCCAAGGGAACCCAAGGGAACCCAAGGGAACCCAAGGGGAACCCAAGGGAACCCAAGGGAACCCAAGGGAACCCAAGGGAACCCAAGGGAACCCAAGGGAACCCAAGGGAACCCAAGGGAACCCAAGGGAACCCAAGGGAACCCAAGGGAACCCAAGGGAACCCAAGGGAACCCAAGGGAACCCAAGGGAACCCAAGGGAACCCAAGGGAACCCAAGGGAACCCAATGGGAACCCAAGGGAAACCCAAGGGAACCCAAGGGAACCCAAGGGAACCCAAGGGAACCCAAGGGAACCCAAGGGGAACCCAAGGGAACCCAAGGGAACCCAAGGGAACCCAAGGGAACCCAAGGGAACCCAAGGGAACCCAAGGGAACCCAAGGGAAACCCAAGGGAACCCAAGGGAACCCAAGGGAACCCAAGGGAACCAAGGGAACCCAAGGGAACCCAAGGGAACCCAAGGGAACCCAAGGGAACCCTAAGGGAACCCAAGGGAACCCAAGGGAACCCAAGGGAACCCAAGGGAACCCAAGGAACCCCAAGGGAACCCAAGGGAACCCAAGGAACCCAAGGGAACCCAAGGGAACCCAAGGGAACCCAAGGGAACCCAAGGGAACCCAAGGGAACCCAAGGGAACCCAAGGGAACCCAAGGGAACCCAAGGGAACCCAAGGGAACCCAAGGGAACCCAAGGGAACCCAAGGGAACCCAAGGGAACCCAAGGGAACCCAAGGGAACCCAAGGGAACCCAAGGGAAACCCAAGGGAACCCAAGGGAACCCAAGGGAACCCAAGGGAACCCAAGGGAACCAAGGAACCCAAGGGAACCCAAGGGAACCCAAGGGAACCCAAGGGAACCCAAGGGAACCCAAGGGAACCCAAGGGAACCCAAGGGAACCCAAGGGAACCCAAGGGAACCCAAGGGAACCCAAGGGAACCCAAGGGAACCCAAGGGAACCCAAGGGAACCCAAGGGAACCCAAGGGAACCCAAGGGAACCCAAGTGGAACCCAAGGGAACCCAAGGGAACCCAAGGGAACCCAACGGAACCAAGGGAACCCAAAGGGAACCCCAAGGGAACCCAAGGGAACCCAAGGGAACCCAAGGGAACCAAGGGAACCCAAGGGAACCCAAGGGAACCCAAGGGAACCCAAGGGGAACCCAAGGGAACCCAAGGGAACCCAAGGGAACCCAAGGGAACCCAAGGGAACCCAAGGGAACCCAAGGGAAACCCAAGGGAACCCAAGGGAACCCAAGGGAACCCAAGGGAACCCAAGGGAACCCAAGGGAACCCAAGGGAACCCAAGGGAACCCAAGGGAACCCAAGGGAACCCACGGGAACCCAAGGGAACCCAAGGGAACCCAAGGGAACCCAAGGGAACCCAAGGGAACCCAAGGGAACCCAAGGAACCCAAGGGAACCCAAGGGAACCCAAGGGAACCCCAGGGAACCCAAGGGAACCCCAAGGGAAACCAAGGGAACCCAAGGGAACCCAAGGGAACCAAGGGAACCCAAGGGAACCCAAGGGAACCCAAGGGAACCCAAGTGGAACCCAAGGGAACCCAAGGGAACCCAAGGGAACCCAAGGGAACCCAAGGGAACCCAAGGGAACCCAAGGGAACCCAAGGGAACCCAGGGAACCCAAGGGAACCCAAGGGAACCCAAGGGAACCCAGGGAACCCAAGGGAACCCCAGGGAACCCAAGGAACCCAAGGGAACCCAGGGAACCAAGGGAACCCAAGGAACCCAAGGGAACCCAAGGGAACCCAAGGGAACCCAAGGGACCCAAGGGAACCCAAGGGAACCCAAGGGAACCCAAGGGAACCCAAGGGAACCCAAGGGAACCCAAGGAACCCAAGGGAACCCAAGGGAACCCAAGGGAAACCCAAGGGAACCCAAGGGGAACCCAAGGGAACCCCAAGGGAACCCAAGGGAACCCAAGGGAACCCAAGGGAACCAGACGGGAACACCAAGGGAACCCAAGGAACCCAAGGGAACCCAAGGGAACCAAAGGGAACCCAAGGGAACCCAAGGGAACCCAAGGGAACCCAAGGGAACCCAAGGGAACCCCAAGGGAACCCAAGGGAACCCAAGGGAACCCAAGGGAACCCAAGGGAACCCAAGGGAACCCAAGGGAACCCAAGGGAACCCAAGGGAACCCAAGGGAACCCAAGGGAACCCAAGGGAACCCAAGGGAACCCAAGGGAACCCAAGGGAACCCAAGGGAACCCAAGCATGTTCATCCACACTCACGATGCTTCGACGGCCTTGGGGTTGTACGTTTTTGCCATCTCCTTGGCGAGGTTCTTCTTCTGCTTGGACCCTGTGGGGCCGAATACACTTCATCCGCGTTATAGAACGGATTCGTTACTATGTACAGTACATCCACACTCACGATGCTTCAACGGCCTTGGGGTTGTACGCCTTGGCCATCTCCTTGGCGAGGTTCTTCTTCTGCCCGGGCTCCGTGGGCGGATTCGCTGCATCTGCCTCCTCGCCTGCCCCTCCCCCTGCTGCTGCCGCTGCTGCCTTCTTTGCCTTCGCCTCGGCCTTCTTGGAAGGCTGAAGCAGCAAGAGAAGGCAAACATGGAAAACGGGAGAGGGAGAGGGGGAGGGGGTGGGGCAGAGAGAGGAAAGGAAGGTCATGCTTGTGATTCTTTAACACCAAACAAAGAAAAGGCCAAAAATCACTAGTGGCACAGTCCTCCGCACATTTGCAGAAACATTTACCTTATAAATAGGCGCTAGAACGAAAACACGGCACAAGTGCCACAATCCGCACGCACCTCAGCAGAAGCGGCTGCAGCAGCGGCTGCCTTGGCCTTGGCTGCCTTCTCCGCCGCCTTCTGCTTCTTCAGCTCCTTCTCCCGCGCCTGTGTGTTACACAATGGAGGGGTGACAGTAACGAGGGATGACAGTAATGAGGATTGCAGAACGGAACCGGGTGGTGAAGAAGCAAGATCAACGAGGAGGCCATGACACGGATCCCACACGGAGGAGAAGAAAATTTGTATGTCCCACTCTGGGGCAATAACTGACTGTGACAAAAATGCACTCGCCCTCACTGCGGTCTAACTGCGCACTAACAGAAAGTAGCATCTTCCAAAGTCCTCAGAATCGTCACCACTACAAGGCCCACCTTCTCCTCCTTCTTACCTTCTCCTCCTTCTTCTTCTTCCTCTCAGGGTCCTCCTCCTTCTCTCCAGCAGCCGCATTGGCATCGGGAGGAGGCGGTGCTGCAGCTTCTGCTACCTGGGGATCCTTTTCCTGGAATTGCAAAAGAAGACAAAGAAAGAAAAGGAAGAAGATGATGAGGAGTTTCAAACATTTCTCGCAGCGGCTTCAAGAGGCAGTGGCGGTGCTGCCTGGGGATCCTTCTCCTGGAATTGTGCAAGTAAACAACACGAAAGAAAACGAAAGAGGGACGAAGGAGCGTAGGAGAGAAAACGGGATGAATACATTGAGAAATGGTCCCGTTTGAGATTAAATTTTACTGTTTGCTGCGGTTTGAAGCCTTTCCGAAGCGTGTCCGACGCAAGCAGCAGCTAAACATGTCCCCGCCAGCATCGCTACGAACACGGCAAAGCCTCTGAAATATGTGACGCCTGTGACTCTCACCCAAACTGGACGATGATCCTGGAGCTTTGTGTGTGTTTGCCCTAACTTTGTTTTTTGGGAGACGATCCTCAAGATCCAGCTGAAGACCGCGAAAGACTACTCCGTGGCATTTGACTACTCCGATCGCGAGCTACCGAATCGCGCATTGGCTCTTGATCCGGTCAAACCAACAATAATGGTGGTACACGAGTTCTCTGAGGACACGCGCGCTGCCGCGAGTCTCACGGAAAACAAGCGATCGAGCGAAGAGGCTCACCTCCGGTGCCATGGCGTGACGACGAAGATGGGCGACTAGGCGAAGCTGGTGTTGCTCAGCTGGGATCGCCAAGCAGAAGGGTGAGCTGATGGAATGGGAACTACGGAAAGGGGAAAGAACGAGGAGAGCTGATCACCTGTGTGATAAACAGAATTCACTAGCAATTAGTTCAGCGGTTTGTGCGCTGCAAAACGGTAAACCCGTCTTAAGAATGGTTGGGTGGGGTTGTGAAGGAGGTAAGTGCTCTTCACACTCCCTAGAGCGGAAGGAAAATGAAAGCTGCTGACGGAGGTTAGTGGACGGAGATCCCAAGGTTGGACCAGCCGTTGACGGAGAATCTACGGACTGACGATATGGCGGACCTATCACGAAGGAGTTCGCGAATTCCGACAGCTAGGAACTGCGACTTGAGGTCGTGTTGGCAGTGGTTGCGAGTGAATGGAGCCTTTCGACACAAAATTGCGACTGGTGGGTCGCACAAAACTCCGTCAGCATCTCCAGGTTCTGGGTTTTGATGTGTTGGTCATTAATGCACAACTCATTATCACGTGATCGATCGCAGTCAATGTACACCAGGAAGTTGCTCTAGAACTAGTAGGAATTGGTAGAATTCCTGAGAACAGGCAGAACGACACTTTAGGAATTCGGATGCAGTGGCCTGACAACTAGCTTAGCGGGAACCACTCTAAGCAGAACCCTAATTTAAAGAGCTGGTAATCTTCTTGCTTGTTTGCTTTGTGCTATGGCGACAAACGGAAACGCATGTGCTTGTAGCGAGCCTCACGCGCGTCTAGGCGATCAGGCTTCGAGAATGTCTTCCCCTTGCGACAGCAGCGAATGTGCTCGGCCGTGTAACGGATGCAACTGTAGCGAGGATAGCAACCGTGCCATCCAATCGGCCAGCTGTTCTTCCGTCACTGGCGGTTGCAGCAGCTCCGGTCATGCCTGCGGCTCGTTCCCCCCCGCTAACCCCCTCACAAACAGTGTTACGGCCAGTATTACCACGAGTGTTACCGTTAGTGTTACAAGTACCGTTACCACCACTAGCAGCGACAGCAGAGACAGCAGCAACGGCGGCTGCAGCAACAGCGCGCCGAGCGTGCGCATTAGCGGAAGCGGGGCAGCGGTGAGGGCCTGGGGGAGCGGAGGCGGAAGACTGCTGTGCGGGGAGTGCGGGGAGCAGCGCGCCATGGTGAAACGACCCAAGACCGGCCAACAGGTGCGCACGCTCCCCCCGCGTGTTTCCGCCTGCTTATCCCCCTTGCCCCCATCTCCCCTCCCCCCGCGCCCGCCAATCTCCCCCTCCCCTTGTCCCGTTGATTCCCGCCATGCCCCCAGGTGTGCAAGGAGTGCTTGTTCCGTCTGTTCGAATTTGAGCTCCATCAAACCATCGTGGCCGTCTCAGAAGCCTTTCATGCATCCATCCCACTGCTGTGCCCCCTCCCCCGCGTGCACCCAGGTGTGCACGTACTGCTTGTTCCGTCTGTTTGAATTCGAGCATCCAGATTCATCACACCATCGTGGCCATTCAATAGCCCTGCATGCCTGCCTGCACGAGTTAATGTTCGCACCTGCGTGTGTCCCGCTGCCCCCACCCCCCCTCCCCCCCTCCTCAGGTGTGCCAGGACTGCTTCTTCGGTCTGTTCGAATCCGAGATCCATGCCACCATCGTGCCCGTCTCAGAACCCTTTCATGCCTGCATGAGTCTATTTTCATGCCTGCATGAGTCTATTTCCATGCCTGCGTCCTCCCCACTGGCCCCCCTCCCACCCCTCTCCTGCCCTCCTGCCCCCAGGTGTGCAAGGAGTGCTTCTTCCGCCTCTTCGAGTCCGAAATCCACGCCACCATCGTGTTAAACAAGCTCTTCAAGCGAGGGGAGAAGGTGGCAGTGGCTGCGTCAGGGGGCAAGGGTGAGTAGTAGTAGCAGCTTTTGACGTTCTCGTTTTCATTCTATGCGTTTGACCGGAAATCCATGCCACCATCGTGGAGAACAAGCTCTTCAGGCGAGGGGAGAAGTGGCCCCACTGCTCTCCGCACCACCCCCACATGCACCCTGTGCTTCCCCCCCAATCACCGGCATCGGTGCCACCACATCCCGCAACTCGCCCTCCTCCACCCCTTCCTCCTCCTCCTCCCCCACTGCAACCACCCCTTCCTTCTCCTCCTCCTCCTTCCTCCTCCCCACCCTCTCCTTTGTGCCCCCACCCTCTCCTTTGTGCCCCCACCCTCTCCTTTGTGCCCCCACCCTCGCCTCCCTCTGCCCCAACTGCCGCCTTTCCCTCTGCTGGTGGCCCTTGGGAGCTTGAGATGGGCCTACTGCTGCAAGCTCCTTCAGTGTTGCAGGTAGTTTGTATAAATCATCAGTAACCACCTACAGCCTCTAGATGTGCCTATTCAAGGCTGCCCCCCTCCCTCCCCCCACTTCTTGCTGAATCGGAGGCCCCACAAGAAGCCCTTCCTGGATATCCTTCCCTGTCCCTGTCCCTCAGACTTCACCGTGGTCCCTCCCCCCACCTCTCTCCTCAACACACACCACCACTACGGTCTGCAGCTCTTCCTTCTCTCCAGGTCAAATCTCACTTGTATGCTGTGGACGATCATTCAATCCCTCTTCTCTCTTCCTTCCCCTCCCCGCCCCCCCTTCCTCCAGACTCCACCCTGCTTGCTCACATCACCTCCCTCCTCAACGCTCGCCACGACTACAGCCCGCAGATCTTCCTGCCTTCACTTGGTGTCATCCCTTAGAGTGTTTCCTCTTGATCCCTCCCTCACCCCTCTTACCTCCCCCTTCACCCAACTTCCCTCGCGTCTCCCAGTCTCTACCGTGCTTGCCCACATCATCTCTCTACTCAACACACGCCACGACTACGGTCTGCAACTCTTCCTGTGTCAAGCCAACTTGCAGAGCATGTTCCTGACTGAACCTTCCCAGCCCCCGCCATTCCCCTTCCCCCCGCCCTCCACCCTCCTTCACCCAGATTCCACCGTGCTGGCTCACATCGTCACTCTCCTCAACACTCGCCACGACTACAGCCTGCAGCTTTCTCTGTCTGAGATCAACTTAAAGAGTCGTTCCCCTTCTACCTGTTGTCCCCCCCCCCCCCAGACTCCACCGTGCTGGCTCACATCATATCCCTCCTCAACACACGCCACGACTACGGGCTGCAGTTGTTTCTGCTCTCTATCGACGAGGGGATTACAGGGTACAGGGATGACTCACTAGAGACAGTGAAGAGAAACGAGAAGCAGGTGAGGGTGGAGGAAAGGCAGATGCAAGGGGCACATGTGTAGGTGGGATGGTTCCTGGGTTTGTCGCTGTGGTCTCCAGCTCTCCCTGCTATCCATTGACGAGGGCATCGCAGGGTACAGAGACGACTCACTGGAGACAGTCAAGCGGAACGAGAAGCAGGTGCGGGTCACGCGTGGCATGAGGGGCACATGTGCGACGAGTTTCAGATCTGCAGCTCTTCCTTCTCTCCATTGACGAAGGGATCATGGGGTACGGCATACAGACCCCCACACCACACTATGCAGTACGGCATACCCTCACCATCCTACAAGGACCTCTACGGATGGACTCTGGACAGACACACCATGCCTTAATGCCCTATCTCCTTTCCACTCTCCACCAATCTGACTTCTGCAGTACGGCATTCCGCTCACCATCCTCTCATACAAGGACCTGTACGGGTGGACCATGGATGAGATAGTCGCAACGATCGGCCGCAAGAACAACTGCACGTTCTGCGGGGTGTTCAGAAGACAGGTGAGTTGAGGTTCAATGGTGGGTCTGTGACAATGAGAGCGTCTTACAGCCCACAGCCCACAGCCCACAGCTTTCTTGACGCCTTCCTTAGTGCCTTCCTTAGTGACTTCCTTAGTGCCTTCCTTAGTGCCTTCCTTAGTACCTTCCTTAGTGCCTTCCTTAGTGCCTTCCTTAGTGCCTTCCTTAGTGCCTTCCTTAGTGCCTTCCTTAGTGCCTTCCTTAGTGCCTTCCTTAGTGCCTTCCTTAGTGTCTTCCTTAGTGCCTTCCTTAGTGCCTTCCTTAGTTCCTTCCTTAGTGCCTTCCTTAGTGCCTTCCTTAGTGCCTTCCTTAGTGCCTTCCTTAGTGCCTTCCTTAGTGTCTTCCTTAGTGCCTTCCTTAGTGCCTTCCTTAGTTCCTTCCTTAGTGCCTTCCTTAGTGCCTTCCTTAGTGCCTTCTTGGCAACCCACACCTTCAGCCCTCAGTGTTATTGACAAGGCTCACACCTACGTTGGTGCCGTCTTGACACCCCACGCCTTCTTGATCCCTCCTTTCTCCTCCTAGTGCGATGAAACACACCTCATGATACGGTCCCTAGACAGGGGAGCAGCCCTCCTGACTTTGCAGGGTCGGTGCTGCTGAGCTGACCCTGCTGGGGAGGGACGTGGCGAGCCTCTCAGCCGTTGTGCCGCCATCACCACATGGGAGCACTTTGCCCTCATAGTGCTGACCTGATCTCATTCCTCCATCAATCTCCCCCTCCCACTGCTCTTTCCCTCTCTCAGCTTCTCCTCTTGTTGCCCCCTCTCCCATGCTTTACAGGCCTTAGATAGAGGAGCAGCCCTCTTAGGAGCGGACAGGCTGGTCACAGGGCACAATGCAGACGACTTTGCAGAAACGGTGTTGCTGAATCTATTGAGGGGCGACGTGGCGAGGCTGAGTCGCTGTGCCGCCATCACCACGGGGGAGGACTCTGCACTTCCCCGGAGCAAACCGTTCAAATACACCTACGAGAAGGAGATTGTCATATATCCACCCCCGATCTAAATCCTTGGAATATCCCTTGCCTTCTCAATTTTTAATCGGTTTTCTACTCTTTCCTTGATCCGTGATCTTGTACTTTGTTCATCCAACTAAGTCAAATACAAGTGCTTCATTTGGGTGACCAAATCTGCCTTGTAATCCAGAATTCCTTAACTCCTCTCCTCTTCTCCGCTCCCCTCTTTTCCTACTTTTCTGTCTCCTAACTTCTTTCTCTCAAATCCTTCGTCTCTTCTCCTTAACCTACCTCACTCCCCTTCTCTCTCCTCTCCCTCCCTTCGTTCCCCTCCATCCCTCTCGTTCTATGCCTTCCTCTATTCTTCTGCCTTCCTCTCTCTCCCTACCTTGCCTCTTCTCCTGCCACAATTTCTCCCCATCCCCGATCCCCTCTCCCCCTTGCCCCACCACACTACATTCCTCCCTTCTCCTTGCTCCCCCTCCCCTTCCTGTCTCCCCCTTGCCACACCATCCCTTTTATGTGGACCTCATTTCCTTCTGCCTTGTAACCACGTAACCTGCTTCATTGCAACGTTGTAACCTTGGTCTATCAACGTCCAATCAGCACGTACGCGCATTTCAAAAAGCTGGATTATTTCTCCACCGAATGTAAGAATCCCTCTTGTCATTTCAGCAAAGAGCTTATAGAAAGGTTCTGCCCTTTCCTGTTCCATGGGCCAACGTCGGGTCCCCTTGGCCTGCTCGTTGCTATCTTCTCTTGGACATCTGAACCATTGTACATCTGAACCATTGTACATCTGAACCATTGTACATCTGGACCATTGTACATCTGAACCATTGTACATCTGAACCATTGTACGTCTGAACCATTGTACATCTGAACCATTGTACATCTGAACCATTGTACATCTGAACAGTACTGCTTATATGCTCCTTTTCTCCCCCAAACTCAAGCAAGTGACCATACTGGTGCACTCATCCCATATGGTTCCTTCCAACAGTTGTCTCCTCTTCCGTAACCCCCCCTGACGTGTGCTGAGTAGGTCTGGTGACTCTTGCTTGAGAGTCACCAGACAGGTCTGCTTCCGAGTCGAATCAAAAGCAGTCCCAGTGCGGGCCTTTCTCTCCATGAGCCCGGACGACCAGCTTTTGAGTCGACTCAAAACCCCCCCTGACGTGTGTTGAGTACGTCTGGTGACTCTTGCTTGAGAGTCACCAGTCACATCTTCAGATGTGTTTGCTAGTGACGTTTCAGAATGCCCCCACTCGCTCTTCCCCTCTCCTCCCGCCTACTCTCGTCACCTCTTCTCCCTTCCATGCGTGTGCGTGCAGGTATCTACTCTCCAGACGCCTATCGGGGATTCGCCCGTGAATTCATCAAGGACCTAGAGGCCATACGGTGAGTGGGTGCTTAGAGGCCATACGATAAGAGCTTACCTTACGTGTGGTGCGTACGTCTTTGAGTCTTTTGAGTCAACGCCGAATTCATCAAGGACCTAGAGGCCATTCGGTGAGTGGGTGTGTACCTTACCTATTTAAAATCCAGTCAGGGTTTTAAGCCCATGTGACGTATGCTGGCCGTGCTGCCTTGCGGTTACCTCCTCTCCTCCTCACCCAATCCAGAGTTTACCAGGACTTAGAGGTCCATTATTCACGTCAGCAAATCAGCCGAGGAGTTCAGATTCCGAGCTGATAGTGGGGTGGTTATCGCGTTTTGTTGTGTTTTTCAGCCTCCCTCTCTATGCTCCTCTCCTTTCAACTTGCCCATGTGTGATCAGGCCTCGAGCCATTTTGGACATAATAAAATCTGCCGAGGATTTTAGATTCCAGGCTGATGCGAAGATGCCAACTCAGCGCACCTGCGACCGATGTGGTTACATCTCCAGCCAGGTACGGTTACATCTCCAGACAATTACGGATACAGATCCGGCCAGGTATGCCTACATCTCCAGCTAGGAATGGTAACAGATGTGCACACGAATCAGGGAGCACCAACTCCAGCTGCCCGTGCTCTTGCAGTGTGAAGATTGGAAACTGAAACATTAGCTTCATTAGAAAGTGAACAAGCATACATAGGTTTGGGAAGAGAAGGTTGGAAGGGAAAGGAGGGAGGTGGGATTGGGGGAGTGGGCCAACCTATGGCCCATTGGGTTGGGTTGACCACATTTGGGAAGTGGGGCAACCTATGGCCCAGTGGGTTGGGTTGGCCTCACTTTGTAAAGTGGGGTACCCTATGGCCCATAGGGTTGCATTTGGGGGCTCCACCACAATTGGGTTGGATTGGCACCCCAATATGCAAGACTACACCCAAAGTTGGGTGTAGTCCCAACCCAACTGTACACCACAATTGGTGTACAGTCACAAGTGTTAGCATGCTAGAACATGGGAATTCTAACACAACCCCTTAGCATGCTAACATAGGAAGGGAGCAACCCCTGAATCAAGGGGCGCTCGGGTGAGCAAAGCCGATGAGGCGGAGGAGAGCAGAGTGCGCAGGGCGAAGGAGAGCCTTGGTGAAGATGTCGGCAAAGTTGGCCTCGGCAGCGATCTTGCGGACAGCAAGAAGGCCGCGCTGGACGAGCTCGCGGATGAAGAAGTAGCGTAGTTCGATGTGCTCGGAGCGGGCGTGGTAGACAGGGTCCTGAGTGAGGTGGATGGTGCTGGCATTGTCACACCAGAAGGTGGGGTAGGGCTGAGGGGCGCCAAGCTCAGCAAGAAGAAAGCAGAGCCAGCGGGATTCCTGGGCGGCCATGGTGCCAGCGTAGAGCTCAGCCTCGCAGGAGGAGAGGGAAACGGAGGAGCGTGTGGAGAGCCAGCTGACAAGGCCACTGCCAAGGGTGAAGCCGTAGCCCTGAGAGGAGCGGCGGTCCGGCTGTGAGTCGGCCCAGGAGGAGTCGCTAAAGCCCGAAAGGAGGGGAGGGGAGGAGCCACCAAGAGTGAGGGCGTGGTCCTTGGTGCCGCAAAGGTAGCGGAGGACCCTCTTAGCAGCTTTCCAGTGCACCTCGGTGTGGCGGCCAGGGCCAACAAAGCGAGCGAGCACGCTGATGGGGTAGGCGAGGTCGGGACGGGTGCACATCATAGCTTACATTAGCGATCCAACGAGCTCAGCATAAGGGCGAGTGGAGGAGGAGGGAGAGGAGGGTGGGGCAAGCTGGTGGCCATAAGGGAGGGGGGTGGCCATGGGACTGGCCTGCGCCATCTCGAACTTCTCCAAGATCTGGCCGATGTAATGAGACTGGGAGAGGGTGATGGTGTGAGCAGGACGATCGCGAGTGATAGCCATGCCCAGGTAGTGCGTGAGGTCGCCCAGGTCCTTGCACTTGAGGCGCTGCTGCAGCTGCTGCTTCATCTGCTCTATGTCAGCCTTGGAGTCAGCGAGCAGGATCATGTCATCCACATACACCAGAATGAAGAAGCGGCGAGGGGAGGAGCGAAGGAAGAGACTGGCGTCAGAATGCGAGGCAGAGAAGCCAAGGGACCCCAGGGTGGCAGACAGCTTCGCGTGCCACTCCCTTGGCGCCTGCTTCAGGCCATAGACAGGCCGACGCAGCTGCCACACAGTGTTCGCTGGAAAAGCGGCGTGGAACCCGGGGGATCGCCGGAGGAAGATGCGCTCATGCAGGTCCCCTTGCAAGAACGCGTTGGAGACGTCCATGGAGCAGATCTCCATGTCGTCGCGCGCAGCAACGTCGAGGAGGGTGCGGAGGGTGGGCGGCTTGGCGGTGGGGGCGTAGGTGAACCAGTAATGCTCAGCCCAAGTCTGGGTGAAACCCTTAGCGCAATAGCGGGCCTTGTAGACCGGATCCTCGCCCGGCAGCTGCTTCACTCGAAAGACCCACTTGCCCTCGACAAGGTTGGCGTCGGCCAGGAGGGGGACGTCAACGAAGGAGTCGTTGCGAATGAAAGCCTCACACTCCAGGAAGATTGCCGCGATCCACTTATCCGCATCAGGGCAGGAGGTGGCCTCTTGGAAGGTGGAGGGAGTGAAGATGGTGGGGGTGGAGGTGGCGCCGAGGACAGGAAGACCATGGAAGTCAAGGAAGATGGAGGCAAAGAAAGGAGTGTGGTGCCGGATGTTGAGGAACTCCTCATGAGAGTCCTCAAGGAGCTGAATGGAGGCGGGAGGAGGGGCTCCAATGACTTTATCCAGGGAGCGAGTGTGCATGCAAGGGAGGAGGAAAGGGGAGGAGCGGGAAGTTGCTCGGTGCTGCTGCCGCTGCTGCTGCTGCGGCTGCACCTGCTGCTGCTGCTGCTGCTGCTGCTGCTGCTGCTGCTGCCGCTGCCGCTGAGTCGGCTGCTGCTGCTCCTGCTGCAGACCCGGCTGCGGCTGCACCTGCTGCTGCTGCTGCCCCTGCTGCTGCTGTTGCTGCTGCTGCGGCTGCTGCTGAGTCGGCTGCCGCTGCTGCTGCTGCGGACCCGGTTGCTGCTGCTGCTGCCCCTGCTGCTGATCCGGCTGCCGCTGCTGCTGCTGCTGCTGGGCCGGCCGTTGCAGAGAAGGGGGAGAGTGAGAGGAGGAGGGAGAGGGGGGAGGGGGCGCAGCTGAGTGGGCCGGGGAGGCGGGTGCGGCGGGGTCATAGACGTCAGCAGAGGAGGACGGATGGAGTGGGGCGGCAATGGGGGGGAGGAGAGGAGCGGGAGGGAGGAGAGGTGGGAGGACAGTGTCGGTCTAGGCGAGAGGGCGAGAGGGAGGAGGGAGAGGGTCAGGAGGAGGAGTGGAGTAGTAGGGGATGGACTCGTCGAAGACGACATCACTGATGCGGATGAGGCGGTTGGTGGGAGGGTGGAGGAACAGGTAGCCTGGGGAGTCGCGATTGTGCCCGAGGTAGACACACTCAAGGGCACGGGGGGCGAGCTTGCCAGCGGCACGGGAGCGATCGGCCGGTGGGATGAGGACGAAAGACTTGCAGCCCCAAACGCGAAGGCCAGCAGCGTCAGGCTTGGCCTTGGACCAGAGTTCTGTGGGGGAGGAGGAGGGATGCTGAGGGTGGGAGTGGAGATTGAGGAGGAGGGCGGCATGGAGGAGGGCAAAGTTCCAAAGGGAGGGAGGGGTGGAGGCGTGAGCAATGAGGCAACGGGCAATTTTGGTGATTTTGTGGATGCGACTCTCAGCAATGCCATTTTGCTGAGGGGAGTGGGGAAGGGTGGAGGCTTGCTTGATGCCATGAGTTTTGCAGAAGGTGGCAAGGGTGTTGTTGATGAACTCACCCCCACCATCAGAGTGAAGGCGGCCAATAGGGCGTTTGAAGTGATTGCGGCACTGCTCAGCCCAGTTGATGGCAATAGCCGGCACCTGGTCTTTGGAGTGAAGGAAAAAGACAGTGGAGTACCGACTGTGGTCGTCGACGAGGACGAGCATATACCGGTGCTCCTGACGGGAGCGGATGGGATAGGGACTTCAGAGATCCATGTGGACAATGTCAATGGGAGCGGCAGCAAAGGTGGGATGGCTGTGATGAGGGGACTGCTTGAGCTTGCCATGAATGCATGATGGGCATGGGGGAGCAGGAGAGGAGGGGAGGGGAGGTAAGGTGGGAGGGAGGCTGTGAAGGAGGCGAGAGGTGATAGTGGTGCGAAGTGCGGCGAAGTTGGGATGACCGAGTCTGTGGTGCAAAATGACTGCTGGGTGGGAGAGGGCAGTAGAGGAGGAGGGGGATGGGGTGAGAGAAGAGGTGGGGAGGGAGGAGGGGAGTGAAGTAGGGGAGGGGGATACCTGAGGGGGAGGGAGAGGGGGAGGAGGACCGGTGGAAGTACCAGCACGTGTGGTGACTTGACAGAAAGAGGGACGGGAAGTGCGGAGCGTGTAAAGGCGAGTGCGAGGGCAAAGGGGAATGCGCAGAAGGAAGCGACCAAATGAGGATTGGTAGAGATCACAGTAATGAGCAAAACCAGGGTAAATGGCGGTAATACCGGCACCTTGGAGCTCTCGGGGAGAGAGGAGGTTGTTGCGAAGGGTGGGGATGTGGAGACCTATGACCTTACCAGAGGGGAAAGCGGTGCAAGGGAGGGTGGAGAGGTGAGTGCATGGGATGGAGAAGCTGGAGTCAGCACCATGGACCTGGGTGGGAAGTGGGAGGGGGGTGAGGGTGCCAGCGTCTTTGAGTGCGGTTTCTGTGGCCCCACTGTCAAGGACAAAGTCCAAGGTGGGGGAGGAAGGAAGGGGAGGTGACACGGGGTATTGGAAGGACGTTTCATCGATAGCAGAGGGATACATGGAAGCGACGGATGGTGCAGCAGTAATATGACCAAGGAAACTGCCCTGAGAGTCAGAGACACTCGGGGGGCAGAGGGAATGAAACCCCAGGGGGGGGGGGCAAGGGAGGCATGAGCGGCCATGGCTGCTGCGCCGAAGGTCATCGGCTGCTGTTGCCACTGCGGCGGAAGGTACTGTGTCATCGGCTGCTGCTGGAAGAACTGCTGCTGTGGGGGCTGCTGCGGCTGAAAAAGCGGCGGCTGCTGCTGCTGAAGAAACTGCGGCTGCTGCTGCTGCGGGAAGTACTGCTGCTGCTGCTGCTGCTGGTGCTGCTGAAACTGCTGCAGCTGGGAGGGGGGAGAGGGGGTGAGCTGACGGAGGTGAGCGGGGAGGAAAGAGGGGAGGGTCTGAACGTCCACGAGGGAGGGGCGAGGGGTAGCACTGTTCCAGCGAGGAGGGGTACCAGTGTTGCCGCGGTCAAACCAGGCGTCATCAAGCGCCTTGAAGCAGGTGGCAGGGGGGTGGTTGGTCTGTCCACACGGCGTGCCGGCGTGGGGACCATGACGGCGAACGTACGTGCAGGGGGGGAGAGTCCCAGGGCAACCACCACCACGGCTCACAGCACCACCAGCATTAGAGGAGCCTCACCACCACCACCACCACCACCACCACCACCACCACCACCACCACCACCACCACCACCACCACCACCACCACCACCACCACCACCACCACCACCACCACCACCACCACCACCACCACCACCACCACCACCACCACCACCACCACCACCACCACCACCACCACCACCACCACCACCACCACCACGGCCACCACCGCCACCACCCCGACTGCCACCTCTGCCCCCTCCACGACCCCCTCCGCCGCCGTTGCGACCACCCTGGGTGCGCGGCTGCGTGGAATTGAGGGAGGTGGAGGAGTGAGTGGTGGTGAGGTTGACAATGGGGTTGCGGAGCTTGACCTCCGTGTCAATGATCCACTGAGTCACTTCGGGGAGGCCAGCCAAGGGGTTTGCCTCGGTGAAGGCGTGAAGGCGGGACTCATAGTCTGGCGTGAGGTTGAAGAGCAAACGGTGGATCTGCAGGGGCTCAGAAAAGGCAGCCTGGCGAGCGGCAAGGCGATCTGCGACCTCCTGCATGCGCCCGACATAGTCGACTGCACCGTCGCAGGTGGCAAGGGTGATGGAGAAGTACTCCTGGAACAGAACGCCGACGGAGCTGATGTCGCGACGCTCGAACATAGACTGGAGCTCGGTCCAAATGAGGTGAGCGCGCATCTCGCGAGCTTGGAAGCGGCGCATGAGGGCGTCGGGGAGTGCACCGAGGAGGATGGTGCAAGCGCGGTTGTCGGCAGCGGCCCAGGCGATGTTGTTGGGGACATAAGCCGCCATGGAGGTGTTGTACTCCGCAATCAGCTCCAGGCGAGTGGCACGCTCTGACGATGCAAACTCGTAGTTGAGCACAGCAACGTCATGGTCGACCTTGCGGATGAAGTATTCACGGCGGTTGTGGAGGAAGGTGGCGTCCGCAGCGGCCTGAAGCTCAGGGGTAGCGGCCACGGACATGTTAGGCTCAGGAGGAGGGGGGCCAGGGCGGGAAGGGAGAGGGGGAGGCTCGCCAGGGTGATTGGGTGCGGTCGGTTGGAGGACCTGAGGACGGCGAAGGAGAACGTCAAGGACGCAGTAGGGTCCAGCGAAGGCGTCTTGAAGGACACGGCGAATGCTGCCGACGAACGAGTGCCAGTTGATGGCGGAGCGATCTGCAGCAAGCTGCAGCTTGTCAACCGAGGAGGCGTCGATAGGAGGGGGGAGAGGGACAGGAGGGGTGGTGGCCATGATGGGTGGCGGCGGGTGGACCCGCGGCGACCAAGGAGGAGACGACGGCGGGTGGACCCGCGGCGGTCAAGGGGGAGGCGACGGCGGGTGGACCCGCGGCGGCCAGGGAGAGGGGGAGGCGCTGTAGCCGGAGCGGGGGCACTCCGCAGGCTGCTGCTGCTGCTGGACCCCTCTGGCTGTTGCTGCTGCTGCGGTAGCCGCTGCTGCCGCTGATGCTGCGGATGGGGCTGCTGCCGCTGCTGCCTGCTGCTGCTGTTATGCTGCTGCTGCCGCTGCTGCTGCTGCTGCTGCCGCTGCTACCGCTGCTGCTGCTGTAGCTGCTACCGTTGCTGCTGCTGCTGCCGCCGCTGCTACCGCCGCTGCAAAGGAGAGGGGAGAGGGAGAGGAGGAGGGAGAGGGGGGGGGGGGGGGGGGGGGGGAGGGGAAGGAGGGTGCAGTCACGGGTGCGGTTGGCACGGCTGCCGCTGCTGCCGGGGATGCCGCTGCTGCTACCGCCGCTGCTGCTGCTGTCGCTGATGGTGCTGCTGGCGCTGCTGCCGCTGATGTCGCTGCTGCCTCTGCCGCCGCTGCTGTAAGGAGAGGGGAGAGGGGGAGGGAGAGGGGGAGAGGGGGAGGGGAAGGAGGGTGCACTCACGGGTGTGGATGGCACGGCTGCCGCTGCTGCCACTGATGTCGCTGCTGCCGGTGCCGCCGCTGCTGCCGGGGATGCCGCTGCTGCTGCTGTTGCCGCTGCTGCTGCTGCTGCTGCTGCTGCTGCTGCTGCTGCTGCTGCTGCTGCAAGGAGAGGGGATAGGGAGAGGCGGAGGGGGAGGGGGAGAGGGGGAGGGGAAGGAGGGTGCAGTCACGGGTGCGGCTGGCACGGCTGCCGCTGCTGCTGCTGCTGCCGCTGCTGCTGCTGCTGCTGCCGCTGCCGCTGCTGCCGCTGCTGTAGCTGCTGCCGTGCTGCGAGGAGAGGGGAGAGGGGAATGCAGGCACGGGTACGGCTGCGACGGCTGATGTCGCTGCTGCCGCTGCTGTAGCTGCTGCCACTGCTCTGCTGCTGCCGCTGCTGCGGCGGCTGAAATGGCGGGGAGAGAGCGGTGAGGGGGGGGGGGGAGGGGGGGAAGGGTGTAGTGGCGGCGAAATATGCAGGGGGCGAAGGGGTCGCGGTGGCGGAAACCGCGGGCGCTGACGGCGCGATCACGGCGGGGAGGGGGGGGTAGTCGCGGTGGCGGGATGCGCAGGCGGCGACTGTGTAGTCCTGGCGGCGGAAATCGCGGACGATGGCGGTGCAGTCACGGCGGTCGAAAGTTCGGGCGACGGCGGTGCAGTCGCGGCGGCGGGACGTGCAGGCGACGACGGGGCAGTCGCAGCGGTTGGATGTGCAGGCGGCGGGATGTGCAGGCGGCGACGTGAAGTCGCGGCGGCGGGCCGGGCAGGCGACGACGCGAAGTCGCGGCGGCTGGTACAGCAGGCGGCGACGACGTGGTTGCGGCGGCGGAACGGGCAGGCGGCGACGAGAAGGTCGCGGCGGCGGGAGAGCCAGGCGGCGACGGCGTGGTCGCGGCGGCTGGAAGGGCAGGCGGCGACGAAAGAGATCGCGGCGGCTGAGAGGGCAGGCGGCGACGGAAAGGTTGCGGCGGCGGGGAAGTCCGCGGGAAATCCGCGGGCGGAGAGGCACGGGCGGCGAAATCCGTGGGACGCAGCAGCGGGGAGGCCGTGGGGAGGCACGGGCGAGGAAATCGGCGGGACGCGGCGGCGAAATCCGCGGAACACGGCGGCGAAATCCGCAGGACGCGGCAGCGGGGAGGCCGTGGAGAGGCACAGGCGGGGAAATCCGCGGGACGTGGCGGCGAAATCCGCGTGACGCGGCCGCGACGAGAAAGTGCCGAGATGGGGAGGGGGAGGGGGGAGGGAACGACGGCGACGGAGAGATCGCGGTGGGAAGGGAGGACGACGGCGACGGTGATGTCGCGGCGTGAGGGAAGCGTATGGTGGGCCATTGCGGCATTGCGCGCAATTCCTTAGAAAAACGGTGCTCTATACCTGTGAAGATTGGAAACTGAAACATTAGCTTCATTAGAAAGTGAACAAGCATACATAGGTTTGGGAAGAGAAGGTTGGAAGGGAAAGGAGGGAGGTGGGATTCGGGGAGTGGGCCAATCTATGGCCCATTAGGTTGGGTTGACCACATTTGGGAAGTGGGCCAACCTATGGCCTAGTGGGTTGGGTTGGCCTCACTTTGTAAAGTGGGGTACCCTATGGCCCATAGGGTTGCATTTGGGGGCTCCACCACAATTGGGTTGGATTGGCACCCCAATATGCAAGACTACACCCAAAGTTGGGTGTAGTCCCAACCCAACTGTACACCACAATTGGTGTACAGTCACAAGTGTTAGCATGCTAGAACATGGGAATTCTAACACAACCCCTTAGCATGCTAACATAGGAAGGGAGCAACCCCTGAATCAAGGGGCGCTCGGGTGAGCAAAGCCGATGAGGCGGAGGAGAGCAGAGTGCGCAGGGCGAAGGAGAGCCTTGGTGAAGATGTCGGCAAAGTTGGCCTCGGCAGCGATCTTGCGGACAGCAAGAAGGCCGCGCTGGACGAGCTCGCGGATGAAGAAGTAGCGTAGTTCGATGTGCTCGGAGCGGGCGTGGTAGACAGGGTCCTGAGTGAGGTGGATGGTGCTGGCATTGTCACACCAGAAGGTGGGGTAGGGCTGAGGGGCGCCAAGCTCAGCAAGAAGAAAGCAGAGCCAGCGGGATTCCTGGGCGGCCATGGTGCCAGCGTAGAGCTCAGCCTCGCAGGAGGAGAGGGAAACGGAGGAGCGTGTGGAGAGCCAGCTGACAAGGCCACTGCCAAGGGTGAAGCCGTAGCCCTGAGAGGAGCGGCGGTCCGGCTGTGAGTCGGCCCAGGAGGAGTCGCTAAAGCCCGAAAGGAGGGGAGGGGAGGAGCCACCAAGAGTGAGGGCGTGGTCCTTGGTGCCGCAAAGGTAGCGGAGGACCCTCTTAGCAGCTTTCCAGTGCACCTCGGTGTGGCGGCCAGGGCCAACAAAGCGAGCGAGCACGCTGATGGGGTAGGCGAGGTCGGGACGGGTGCACATCATAGCTTACATTAGCGATCCAACGAGCTCAGCATAAGGGCGAGTGGAGGAGGAGGGAGAGGAGGGTGGGGCAAGCTGGTGGCCATAAGGGAGGGGGGTGGCCATGGGACTGGCCTGCGCCATCTCGAACTTCTCCAAGATCTGGCCGATGTAATGAGACTGGGAGAGGGTGATGGTGTGAGCAGGACGATCGCGAGTGATAGCCATGCCCAGGTAGTGCGTGAGGTCGCCCAGGTCCTTGCACTTGAGGCGCTGCTGCAGCTGCTGCTTCATCTGCTCTATGTCAGCCTTGGAGTCAGCGAGCAGGATCATGTCATCCACATACACCAGAATGAAGAAGCGGCGAGGGGAGGAGCGAAGGAAGAGACTGGCGTCAGAATGCGAGGCAGAGAAGCCAAGGGACCCCAGGGTGGCAGACAGCTTCGCGTGCCACTCCCTTGGCGCCTGCTTCAGGCCATAGACAGGCCGACGCAGCTGCCACACAGTGTTCGCTGGAACATGGGAATTCTAACATGCAGGACAGCTGTTTGTCTGCTGCACTGCTGTACTGCTAGGTTTTGAGAAATTTCTTTAGGCCAAATATTTCAAGGAATTCTCAAAAAAGGCTCTTGCACGCCATCTCTGTCTGCTGTATTGCTGTATTGCCGCACAAGATTGAAGGGTTGAAGAGTTGATGGAGGGGCAAGGGTCTCCTTGATTGCCTCTTTCCTCCACCCACAACTCTTCAAAAGCTGCAATCACGAGAAGCTGTGCAAGGCATGTGTGCTTCCCAAGGATTGAAAGATGGTCCAAGAGTCTGTTCTTTCTTTCCCTTCTTTCCCTTTTCCCAAAAATATTTCACCAGGAGCTGTGCAAGGCATGTGTGCTCCTGGAGGAGTTGAACGATGCATCACAGTGACGAGAAAATCTCATCTCTCCTCTTTCGACCTCTCACCTCCCCCCCCCTCTCCGCACCCCTCAAAAAATTATCACCAGGAGCTGTGCAAGTCGTGTGTGCTCCTGGAGGGGTTGAATCGCGGGCTGCCCCGCCTGGGCGTGTCTCGCACTCGCAGGAAAGATGGGCGATACACTGCTGCTGCTGGTGTTGGTGCTGGGAGTGGTGCTGCTGCTGCTGGGGATGGTGGTGCGACTGCTGGTGATGCAGCTGCTGCTAGTGCTGCTGGTGCTGCTGATGCTGCGGGTGGTGGTGCCACTGATGCAGCTGCTGCTGGTACTGCCGCCACCGCTGAGGCTGTTGTATCTGTTGCTCCTGCTGCCTCTCCTGTAGCTGATATTGATGCTCCTCCCGTGGCTGATACTGAGGCTAGTGCTGCTCCTGGTGCCACTCAAGCAGGAGATTCAATTTCAGCAGGTTTCGATTCTCTTGCCGTAACTTCCACGTAGGTTATGACATCTGACTTGCTTGTTTATTCGTTGAAAAAAAAGAGGGACAAACAGTAAGCAAGTGAACGGTTGCTGTAGCAGACAATTTTTCTCCCCGCCAAGAATGTGTTTCTCCCGGCTCTGTTGCAACAAGTGTCTGAACTAGGCCCTCAGATATCAGGCTTTTTACCCTGATTTGACTGATTTTCAGTCTTTTATTTTGTACCGTACCAACACTGTTTTTTCATTTTTTTTTTTCAACACTGTTTTTTCAGCCTTCTATTCTTAGAGAACACTGATTTTCCAGCCTTTTTTTCTCAGCAACACTGATGGATCAGCGTTGTAACAAACCTCGACACTGAAAGCGAAAACTACAAGTTGCTTGTAGATTTCTCGGGAAATAGCAGGAATCCCAATTTCCCGCGGTGTCAGCACCGCGTGTCGGTGACTACCTGACAAAAAAGCCCTCACAACACATTCACGCTAACATATGATGTGCTGGCGCGGTGTGTCACACCATTGGGCAGTTTCGGGGTTACCCATGAAGCTGCCCAATGGGGAGATGCTTTAGGGAATCGTGCTGGAAGACTGGCAGCCTTCCAGCACTGCAGCTTGCACATGCGTCGCGATGCGACTTCGTCGTGGTGGCAAGAAGTGATGCTCCCACAGTGACTCTGAATGCATGGGACGCCGCCCAGGCAGCATCACTGCCATCCAAGAGTCGTTTCTGCTTCGTCCTCTTCACCAGAATGGGGTTTCAATCCCTTGCGCGTGTACCAAGAGACAGCCAGCCGTGTGTATTCGCCTCTGCTGCTGGTTTCTCTCGTAGCTTGTTTCTGCCGCTTTCAATCTAAGATGTAGCTGGTCTAGATACTGACTATGCCAGGCCCCCATGAGGCCAGCAGAACTGATGCCCAAGGGAGCAATGACGCGCATCGCCAAGCGCCAGTGGATAGATCTGACGCAGTTACCGGCCTCGATCTGCTTTTTTCGAGCCTCGCCCAAGTAGACACCCATGAACCGCCTGCAGATGTCGCTTCGCCTGCCAAGATCCCTTTCGAACCGATTGATCCAGATGGGTGGGCTGATTGCCTTTCAGCGCCTGATTTTGAGCAAGAACGTGAGGCGCCCCCCGTGGCAGAATCTACGCCAACAACCCTGCCGAAGAAGAATGGGTTGAGGTGGGGTTGTGCGCGTAGGTACTGTAGTGATTTGTGGTCTGTCCGTACTGTCACGTCTGCGCCGGTCAAGTAACAGCACCACACTTTGAACGCACGCACGATCGTGAGCATTTCGCGGTCGTGTATTGGGTAATTCTTCTCGGGCGGATGCAGTTTTCGTGACTCGTATGCGATGGGCTGTAAATCGTTGCCGAAATCTTGTAGCAGTACGGCTCCAATGGCGTGTCAGATTTATATGACTTAGCTGCTGTAGGCTATAGTGGGGTAGCACATATGGGGTACAGCTTTCTAGGGTTTGTACTTGTACCCAACTTTCCCTTAGTCTTTTCATTCCTCGTTCATTTTCACATGGTATAGAGCAGGTTCCCCTGTGGGAACTGTTCCTAGGGCCCACCAATTTTTTTTTTTCCTGCCCGGAGCGCGCTCAGCCT